TGAAGTAAGGATGTTGGTTTGTAGTAATAGTATCCATTTGGGTCTCTCATACCAAATGCGCACATATCTAATGTTCCATAGGTTACGGTATGCTTCATGAGAAGGCGCTGAAAGTGTTTGGTAAACCAAATCTTGGAAGTCGCAGGATTTTCAATGATGAAAAATCTGCCATGTTCAATCTGATAAAGAGCGACTCTTGCACAAAATTCTACCATGGGAAGATACTTTTTCCTTTTTTGATAAGTATCAGCAGGATCATTAATATTCTGCATTTGACTCCATGGTCCACAAACAGGTGCCATGTGGATGATTTTTGGCTGTTGTCGCTCAATGACTTCCATTGCCTTTCGCCGGCCTTCGGCAGTGAGCAAGTCGTAACCTGTGCGGAGGTCTATTGGAGCGCCGACTCGAAGTCCTTGCATTGCTGCCGCTTGACTAAGCTTGGCGGAGCCGCTAAACAGCTCAAGGAAATCTAATTTTCCGGTCATAGCTGGCTCCCATGTATAACAACCATATGTAATACCTTCAGGACCTGACTGAATGGCATCGTGTTCTATGATGTTATTTGCATGGTCATCTGAGCGGCAAGTGGACTTCACTGCTGTACAGGCGCCCTTGGCCGAAGATTCGGCACCGGCGGCAGCTTTGGCCGAAAAGTCGGCACTGGCAAGTGCAATTGGTTCTAAAGGAATGTCAATATCCTCAATAGGATTATGGTCTTTTCTTATTTTACTGATGTTGACCTTCACAATTCTGGTTCCTAAATCAACTCCAACCATACTGCCATCTACGGAAACCAACTTTCCTTTTATCCATTTTCCTCCATGTGAACCGTCTGATTTGATTTTTGATTTGTCTTCGGTCCAATAGTAAACTTTATCTCCAGGAAAGAATGGTCCATCACTAAGTTGAAGTTTACTCGCAATATCTCTTCGAAGGTCATCTGATTGTTTTGCCTCTAGAAACTTTCGCATCGCCAGTGACCTTAGTGCTTCAATCTGTCTCTCAGGAGCAGGGGCCTCAGTCGTGAGCTGAGCTGGATTCATGAGCTCAATCGCCGTAAGATCGGCAGGTCTTCTGCCAAATGCTAATTCAATAGGAGTGACACCACCGAGTGTTACCATGGTGTTCCTTGAAATGCAGGCTTGTCTCAACAACTGTTTATAAGTAATGTTGGCAAGCAATGGATCATCTTTCAAGGAAATTAGCATTAATGAGACCTGTTTCTTAAACATGCGAATGGCTGCCTCAGCTCTATTTGGCCATGGTGTTCCTGGTCCTAGAGAGATTGGCCTGATGCTGTGCCGGTTGTAGTAACTCTCCATCTCTATGCCCATGAAAGCTTGATCGGCAACAATGTATTTTGGATTCAGCTGATAAGTTTCAAAGTATTCTTGAAGATGGGAAATCGTCACCGGATCAGATCTGTTTTGAACTACAAAAGCAGTAGTCAAAGAGGTTGCACCATCATACATAAGCAGGAATTGAAGTTTAGACTGTTGATTGATCGGAACTTCTCCATGATCGATGAAGGTAAGTTCACCAAAGACTTCACTTCGGATTCCTGAAACCTTAGCTCTCGATGGTGCAATCCTGGCAGTGGAACATGTGTCACATGATTTTGTAATCTGATCAAATTTGTCATAGATTTCTGTTGGTAACTTCAGAGCCGATGTTCTTCTCTTGAATTGTTCAGTGGTCATGTGATAATGCTTCAAATGCAACTTGAGAAGTTCAGTGGGTGATTGAAGCTTATCATGAATTCTCTGAAGTGCTAGTGACAAAGTTCCCTTAGGTGACGGTTCCTTTTTCTCTTCAAGTTTTACTTCAACCTTAGGTTCCGGTTTGACTTCAGTTTCTCCTTCAATCTGAGGTTCCCGACGTCTTGGGATACCGTCCTTCGAACCGGAACTTGGCCCAGAGGCCACCATTGGCTCTTCATCGGGATCAAAAGGTTGAGCTGGTACTTCTAACTTACTATCAGGCTGAATTGTTTTCTTGACAATCTTCTTGGAATCAGGCTTGGCCGATTTCGGCACCTCTTCAGGCTTAGGCTCTGATCCTTTGAATCTCTTGCAACCTTCCTTGTTGGTGTGTGGTCGATGTTTACCATTGCATGCTGGGCATGTGATGTCTTCGGACTGAAAGCTGTACATCGGTTTCCAACTGGAAGTAGCAAGAGCCATAATGTCAAGGACTGGATGGTTGGATGTACTGACCGCCAACGCGGTGCGTTGCATTCCAAACAGTGGACAAGTCATGAACTCACCTACAGGAGTGTGCTCAATGTTCATGCGAAGATTCCTCATTTGTTCAACTGAAAAAAGAATAGGAACCTTACCTTTGTCCAGGATGTCAACGCATGTTGTGATCCAACCAGTTTGTGCACGATCATTGCGAAAATGAATCACTAACCTTTCCTTGACTGTAGATTGTTCTCCATTGGCAAATGAAAACTTACTTGAACACGGTTGCTTAGAAAACCAAATGTGATCACGCTTGGGATGTTGTTGGCAAGCCTGTACAAGGCGATCAATGGCAAAGCGGGATCCCATGGCTCGAGTGCAACCTGAGTCAAGGATGACATAAGTCGGATGAGAACCTAAATCTACATATTCACAAAGCAATGCTTGTTGGGCACCATGATCATAATTTAGGAATACACACTCTTCCGTAGAGACGGAATCGAGCGGGCTTGTGCGCGGCTGAAACGAATGCAGATCACCGTTTCCGGTAGAAACACTCTTCTCAACTTGGCGAATGCTCTTCAATAGGGACCTGTTCAAATCAGAAAAGCACTGGTACATCACAGACACGAACAGAAGCACGAATGTGAGGGCCTCTACAAGTTCGTGTCCGAACAATCGGAACAAGCGGATGCCTGAAAAACAGAACCGGTTGATCTTGTCGGTCTGTCCGTCCTCGAAATTGACGTCTGAATGCTTGTCCTCGGAGTCGGTCAGTTCCTCAGCGGAAACAAAATACGACCAATTGTACCAATCACCTTGGGAGTAATCTCCGTCATATCCATAGTAGGATTCATAACCTGACCAGTCATCTGTCCAGTATGTGTCATAGTCGTAACTCCAGCTTTCTTCGGCATGGGCTGTTTCTTGTTTTTCAGGGGCATGTGATGCACTGGATGATGCAGCCTGTGCTACATTAGCTTGTGGAGGTTGTGACAAAAATGGATTGGTTCCTCCTTTGTTCTTCGCATCACTTTTTCCTTTTCCTTTCCATGAAGGCATTCCTTTGAAAGAATCCTTTCCTTTCATCATTCCTTTCTTGCCCTTTTTACCTTTTCCTTTGCCCTTGCCTTTTCCCCAGAAAGCCGTGTCTTGCTGGTCATCTTCCCATGCTGCAAAACCTTTGCCTTTTGACCTCGAGCGGAAGCCGGGTCTTGATTTCTTTCCTCCTTTCTTGCCATAACCTTTTGGTCTACCTTTCTTGAAGGACCTGCCGTAGATGCGGCGCTTAGAGTATGAACCCTTGGCGCTGAGAACCCAGAACTCGTTCTCCGTGTACAGACCTGTGAAACCTTCTTCACCCGTCTCTTCATCGAAGACCCAAAATCCGTACTCACCTTCTTCGGTCTCGCCCTCGTCGATGACGTAGAAGTTGGACCGCTTGCGGTGCGTGATATTTGGGTCTGCAACACCTGTGCGGGAAACGGCAAAAAGTTCTAAGAACAGCTGTTTCACTTGGAGATAGGTGTATTGAGGCATTGCAATCTGACGGATGTTCATGGACGAGACAAAGCGCTCTCGCTGTTGCTCGTTGAGGTCTGCTTGCACTAGAAAAATCAGTGACATCAAATTGTCTGACAATGGAAACTGCTGTGCATGTCTGGTCCTTCTATTGGTTATGGTCTGTTCTCTCAGTTCTTGTTGATAAGCTAGCTTATCTTCATCTGTTACTATTCCATTATAGTGCAGTCTTTGCTCATCTGTGAGTGCTGCCGTAAATGCCTGAGTGCCTGCCTCGGGGAGATCGGATATGTCCAGCAGATCGGACCAAGAAGCCAACAAACGCTTCTGCGCGATCTCAAATCGCCCTATCCAGTGCACGAATTCACTCTGGCCTCGATATGTGCGAAACATCTGGAGGAATCGCCAAAGGAACACATGATTCACTCCCTTCACGAAGTATGGTCTCAATGTGTCCTTGAAATGAGCGAGGCCACGATCCGGATCTCGGAGTAGGGCATTATCGAGCATCGACTTATAAAAAGAAGCGGAACCAATGAGGGCATTCTTTAATGATGGTCCGTGTTTATCTGCATCCAATGTTGTGATCCCTAACCAGTCATCAATTAAATCTTCATATTCAAACCAGCTTGATTGGCCATCAAATTGGGGTGGAACCTTTGGTGTCATTTTGATGCCCATCCGGTTTTCGGAATGACTGGTGGCGGCATATGCTTCAGGCTCTTCATAAGAGACAATCTGGAGTTGTTCTTCATCTGAATCCATGTTGTGGATTAAGACCATGGCAGCTACTCTAACTTGACCTACAGGTTGCCTCCGCAAGTCCGATATACGGAATGTATGCAGAGAACAGCAGTTCGGCACACAGATCTAGACTTGGCGAAGGCACAGGCTCCGCTACCACTTTGAGGTAGCTTTTCCCTCTATTAGGGGAGCCCTGGAAACCTAAGTAAACACCTGTGGCAAGCGGAAGCGACTACACTCTTTTTGTACACGCGGAATTGCTGCTAGTCTTGAGCCATGCGGAGTGCGCATGAGAGATATGAATTAAGTATACATGTCAACATGCATGAATGCATTGTGAAGACACGTAAACAAAAATAAATCACAGGGGGAAAGTGAAAATTCTTAGCTTGGGGAGCCCCCACGGGGGAAAACCACCCTTAGCCCCTCTCACGGACCGAAATAAACCTGCGGTGTGGGCGGCCACCCCACGCGAAGCGGGGTGAATAGATACAGAATGAATTCAAGCAGGTTTCAATCACACATTCCGAGCATCTCTGAGCTCCCCACGCTGCACGATTTTCCGCACTGATGAAAGGATCCGCATCACCATGGCAAATGAGCACTTGCGGCCTCAGCCCATTGCTCCAGCGGAGCTTTGCCTATCTGAAATCTGACATGGAGCTGGGACATGCTCGGGACTTGGACGCATCCGGGTGGGACATGTCCTCCGAGGCTATGACCTGCAGCCGATCCCCTTGGAGTTTTCCCAGATTTTCCCAGGAAGGTTGGCGGCCCAGGGCTTGGAACCCAACCCCGTCATCGAGGATGCCATGGAATGAGACTGCAGCCTCAGTCATCCAAGATTTTCCCCAAAGGTTTCGGAAAATATTCGCGGTGTTTCTGGTGTTTCAACCAACCGTCCGTAAGTTTTGCTCGCAAGCAGCGGGTTCTACCTTTTGGATCTTTTTAACTTTTTGGATTCCTGTGATTGCAGCACTTCTTGGAAACAGAACTACCATTACTTGCAGTTAGGTCTTCTAACCGCGCCGGTGCCAAACCTTATACTGTGACCGATAAAAACCAATCAGCCAATCAAAGTTTTCAGAGTTGTTTCCCTTCTTTGAGTGTTGGTTGCAACTCCAGCAAACGATGCATGCATCGCATGTCACCACAGCACCACTCCATGGCATCCGCGGAGTCCTTCAAGTTCTGGGCCGCTTCGGCGGTCTGCCGGGGCCAGGCACGCGCCTGCCGGCAGCGCTGCCAGCTGCGCAACAACTCTGCGGAGCCTCCAGGGCCACCGGAACCCGCCGCGCAGGCACCGGACGCGGCCTTGCGTGCCGTGGTGCCAAAACGGCAAAAGGATGCTAAAACAAAGGCCCGATGCCTCAGAGGAAAAAGACGTGGCAAGAACATAGAGACTGAACTGTGGTTGCCCAACCACCATTTGTTGCATAGATGGTGGAAGTCCTGTGGATGGAAATGGCTGAATACTCGAAACAGCCAGCACAAACCCAAATGAACACATAATGACATAGCACTGGATTTGTTGTCTTTCGCAGATTCTGCTTTCTTCTATATAACCTTTAACTACCTTTACATGTGCAAAACACTTCAGGAAATTTTAGTTACGAACTCCACAGTAGGATATTAAAGGTCATTGTGCAAGGTTTTCTCCTCCACTACTGGCAATTACTGGCACCATCTGGCACCAGTATCCCATCCTTGACGCCCTGCCCAGTTGCAGCTGGGTCTTCTGCCGCTTCACTGCTTCAGCGGCTTCCTTGGTTCGGCGATCCTCCCAGCAGCGTCGGCACCACCACGAGAAGTGCTCCTCGTACGCCTCCACGCTGCGGGACTTCTCTCGAAAAGTTTCATCTGCACACCTGGCATCGTAGCGGCATTGCCGAAACACCGCCTCCACCAAAGTTTCCACTGCAGCTGGTGTAGTGTAGTGAAAGCTTGCAGCGTGATTCAACCACTCAACAGCCCCAGGACTTGGCCCACCAAGGGCCATCGCTTCTGTGTTGATGGCACCGCGGGTCGGGGTCGAGATCTCGGGAATCATCTGCAGTTGCAAGGACGATAAGGAAGGAAATTCGTGCGCCATTGCAGGGTGGCCCACCCCTGGACCCAACGCAAGGGGTCTCGTTGAGCCAAGGCTGCACAAACCCAATGCAAGCGTTGTGGAAACTACTTGATTTAAATTGATTGATTTAATGTATTTTAATGTGGTTTACATAGGGCCAAGAAACCTTGCTGAAAATCTGAGGTGGAGACTGAAATTCCAGCAAAGGAACCCGCACCTTGCCCACTGTTCAAGCGTTCGCTCTCCAATGTGTCTTCAAAGGAAAGATCTTAGCATGTGGCGGGCCAAGTCCAAGACAGTTCTGCCACCAAAGCAATACCCAATGGCTGCAATTCGCTTGGGGTCAACTCCTGCCACCAGCGAAACATTGACGATGAACGGCAAGCGGCTTAAAGCGATGGTGGAATCGTGCCTTCTACAGCTGCCAGCGCTGCAACTGAGGCTTGCATCCTGATGCAAACCCTTCATTTTGGGTTTTAGCGGTGCACCCAATTTTTGGACAATGTTTCTCTTCAAGATCTTCAAATGCCCTTGCCCATTGTAATGGGGAAAACGATGGTGACCCATTGGAATTTGGGGTACCACATTTTCAGACAAACCCTAACAGTCCCAAACGTGACTGGGACAAGAAGAGAAGCGCTGAGAATTCTGAGATGGGAAAATTTTTGAAAGTGTGCATGATTTCTCCTCTTTCGACTCAACGCTCTATCATTGAGAGGCTCTCGCGCTTTGCTATTCCACTCCGGCCTCAGGTGAACCACAGGGTCCACATTCCGGCAGTCCAACATCTGACCGACCTCCATGCCATGTTTTGAGGCCTCCGCTCCCAACCTTGTCCATACCTAGGCAATAACATGATGGTTTTGGTTTCTTTTGAACATGTTTATATACTGTAATATTTAATTGTTTCAAGTTGTTCCATATCTTTCCCACAGTTCTCACTCAGGGACTGATCATCATGGAGTCATGTCCACTGGCAAAGTCTTGGACTCATCACCAAGCAAGTCTGCAATCAGGACTGTATAACCACCGGCAGCCAGAACTTCCGCGCGCCAATGCAAGTACCTCCATGAAACAAGTACAGTAATTCTACTTGAAAACTCCCAGAAAAGGACTTCAATGTAACAAACGGGGAATACCAATTGGCAAAACAAAGTCGGGAAACGCCAGGGTTTTGGCATCCCTGATGCATAAACCAACCGCCACTAAATGAAAATATCATGTTCATTCATTGTCATCATTTTGTTTCACTGATGCCAAGTGACAAATCGCGAGGGCCAACTGCAGTGTGCACAACAACCTGGACATCTATGTCCACATGATTTGGCTGAACATTTGAGAACATCTGGGGCTCTCATCTGGTGGTTTCAACCTATCACCCCCTGTAAAGCAGAAGCAGAATAAGCAGAAGCAGAAGAAGCAGCAGCAGCAGCAGCCGTCGCCGCCAGCAGCAGCAACAACAACAACAACAACCAAAACCACAACCACAACCACAACAACCACAACAACAACAACCACAACCAAAACCACAACCACAACAACAACAACAACAACCACAACCACAACCACAACCACAACAACAACAACAACAACAACAACCAACAACAACAAACAACAACCAACAACCAAAACCACAACAACAACAACAACCACCACCACCACAACAACCACAACAACCACAACCACAGCCACAGCCACAACCACAACAACAACCACAACCACAATGACAATGAAAATGACAATGATGTATCCAATATGGTTGGTATATGTCTTTTTGTTGGTCTTCCTGGTGGCTTGGTTTCGCCTAAGTTCCACGCCACCCCGGCACCATTTGGAGCTGCCGGCCGCACAAGCCGGCCGTGCAGCCGCCGGGAACCCTCCTTGCCACAGTGTGGTGGCCGCACGTCGGATGCCATGGAGTTGCAACTAAAAACCCAAGAAGTTCAACCATTCACTGCAGTATTAGACTAACATACGATACCATGGGATTGTATTTTTGCACGGCTTTGTTGAAGGCTGCTCATCAAGCCCTAGCAAGAGAAGAAATTGTTTCATTCATGTCATTTGAGACAAGTCAAAGTGTCCTCATCCTGGTACACCAGGGCTTCACTGGCAAACGGCCCAATGCCCTCCATGCTGTGGTTTTCAGGAAATGGTACAAATACACACACACACTCACACACACTCACACACGCACACACGCTTGCTCAGAACTGTCATTGCGAATTCTGTTGGGATTGTGGAGCGCATCGTACGTGCAAAAACACTTCCAGTACACCTGACAGGAATGGGTCGGTGAAGAGACCCGAGAAAGGTTACGGAGCTATCATCGCCAAAACCAATGTTGTTGCCAGAGTGAAAATGTTGGAGAACTCCCAAGTGATCGTCACACCGGTTCTAGGCTTAGCCGGTTGCCATTCACGATGAAATTAAGACGGCAAAAATTGAATTGAAAAAGCAGGTGCGTGTGTCATGAATGCATCCCTCTTCGTTGGGCAATAAACTGCAAACATGAGATTGCCCCTCTGCAAATCTGAAACGCAATGAAATGAAACCAAAACCTAAAACATATTACCGGAATTCCAACAGGTTAGAAGTTTTACATCCCTTCAGGTGGTTCACACACATGCCCCGCTGCCGTGGGGCTTTTTTAGAAGATGCACAGCTGGACACGGATCAAAACGATCAAAATGCCAACTCACCGCAAATGATTGCCTCCAAGGAAAAGGGCATCTATGTGCTGTTGTCGTCCGGAATTTCGGAAGACGCTGCACGATGTTGGGCAAGAACGTGCGCCAGGATTGACAGGTGTGCTGCCAGGTTGGCGAGGCCATTATTGTCGAGAGACTCAGAACTTAAAGGTGGCAGGTTTGGCGTGCTCAAGGCCGAAAAAATGGAGCCGTTGCCTGCAGGGTCCTGGGACAAAATCTTGTGTAGTAGCCAGGCAAGCTGGGTGATGGGGACCGGAAGGTTTGACTGGGAAGGCAAAGGAGTCACATCTGTGGTTCAGCCCCATCATCAAGATTGTAATCATGATATAGATGGGAATCTTCAGGTGCACCAGAATGACGGCGCCAAAACTGGCCAACTGGGCGGCTTGGTGCCAGCTTGTCCACTTGATTTCCATGTCGATCTCGCACATCACCCACGATTCCATTGAAGAAGTATTCCAAGGACCTGCCACGAGAATGACCCGACGAGTCAACTTCTTCCACCATCAAGTCTGCGGGCCCATTGCCATACTCATAGATCTTGGAGGTGTGGGTATGGACGATTCTTTGGCGCCACTGAGACGGTTGGAGAGGGGCAAATGTCTGGAAATTTGGTGTGGAGGAGCTAGAGGAGAGTTGGTACCGAATGACTGGTATATTCAGAAGGTGGTTTAAGTTGTGTCAGGCTCCTGATCAAAGTCATAGGCACATGAGTCTCGTGCTTCGAAGCCATGCGAAGATCCCGCGGGGAAGCTAAATTGGCAGTGGCGGAGTCACGTTGTCAAATTGGAAAGCTGAAAAAAGCTGAAACTGAAATTGGGCGGGGACAAACCAAACAACAGCACGGCAACAAGAAAAAACAGAAAAGAAATTGAAGGACGACATAAGTACTCGGAATTCTACGCCTGTCGCGCATTCTATGGTAAATATCCAGCAGGAAGGGCTGTATGGCAAGATAGGCGCATGATGTACGGCTGGTTGAAATCAGTGAAAGGCCTGGGAGGAAACAAATTGCCCGTGCCCTGCTGTCGACACCATTGAGGCCGATGGGTATGAAGTAAGTGACAGAGGTTGGTGTTGCGCAGGGCAATAGTGTCACCCGAGCCATCGTGACATAAGAACATCCCAGGTTACCGAAATTTGGTCACAAACATTGGAGATAAATTCTCCCGACGTCACATGAAGAAGCTTGGACCCAGTGCCGTTCTGATGAGGGCCGGCACATCTCTAATCACAATCTTTCTTGTGACGTTGAGTTTCCGGAACCTGCGGCCTTTAATCAGGTCACCGGGATTGTTGGATTCCCCGGATAGACCGAAAAGGCTTCGTTGTCACCAACATCCATATGGGGACGAAGGAAGTCAAGGAGCATATACCACGCACCCTTAAAAACGGGTTGGATCAATGCTGGTGAAGAAACCCGCAAAATCCTGGCTGAACCAGATAAGATCAGCGTGTTCCGGAGTTACACGTAAAATCTTGAGAAGGGCGCACTCAAGGCTGATGCTCGTGGAGCAGGCTTGCCTTTCCACGATCAGATTGATGCATCGATGGCCTGCAGAGGGTAAGGCTCCTGGATGCTGTTGCTGAGTCCACGAAGTGTATAGCAAAGGGTGAAGCTTTCCGAATTGGATCCCAACATTTTGGTTGTTTCAGTCTGGCTTTGGTATTCGATCCCAAAGCGTGGATGATGTGCCACAATTCAAGACGGTTCTGTCTGAGGAGAGAATGTCCCGGACGACTGCCAAGAACGCTTGGGTGGCAGCCGAGCGCAAGGCTTGGAGGACGGCGCGGCTACGAGCCTTGGCGAGGAGACGGAGGAAGGTGGCGGCTCGTCGCTCCATCTCCCGCCAACTTCCATAAACATGACCACCAGGCGGCAGCGATTGCCCTGCACGAGCTCTGGGTACGTGCGTTCTTTGGCTCGTCGGGCTGCCTGTAGAGCGGCCTGGAGGGCAGGGTTGGCCGGAACTGGTGTCCACGGCCAGTTGCGCGCCATTGTGTAAGGGGAGTCCATGCGCAATGACCTCAACGCGTCGGTTGTCCAGCCGGCTGGTGGTGGCCATGTTGAGGTCTGACACGAGGACGTGGGTCCACCCTTGCACCGGCTTCTCTGCATACCCGGGCAGCTGCCCTTTCCAGTGGCCGCGGCCCTGCGCGGCTCCGCAGCGCCCCCGAGGTAGCGCAGGCGGCACGATGGTCGCCAAAGGGATCGAGAGCGCGACGGCATCGGCAGTGACGGGCTGACAACGGGAGCGGGAGACGGAGACGACGGAGGAGCAGGATGCGGAAGACGTCGGGCGAGTACGTGAAGACGGGGCCCGAAGGGAGGGTCGTGAAAGCTCTGCTTGCGTATGGACCAGCTTGTGACTGGAGCGCCATCGCCTGACCGGCGGGGTCGATGGATGCGAGAATGGCGGTAAGACAGCGGGCGTGGACGGGCTTTGTGGCACGGTGTTGCCATCCTCGACTGGCCATGGGTTCTTCCAGGCGGTTGGGAAGGGGGTGGTGGGATGGTTCGATGAGCTCGGCCCACTCGGGTGGTTGCCAGCCGCCGTGGCGCAAGCTCTAAGCACCATCAAAACACGGGGGAGCCCGGGTCGGGTGGTGGAATGCTTGGAGGATGGTGGCGGTGAGTGCAGGCAGTTGTTGGTGGAGGACTGGGAGGGTGTCTGCCCACGATCCCCACTAGGCTGGCTGGGCGGTGAGGGTGGCCGAGGTCAATCCCAAGCCTCCTTCGGAGAGAGGGAGACGGGCAATAGCCGGGGAGAAGCCAAGCAGCTGTTCCAGGCATGTAGCAACGGCTGCGTCGTGGCTGTGCGCAAACTCCTGGGTCAGGGCAGGGGACGTGGTACGAAGAATTGTGGTTGCAGCGTGGGCTTGCACAGAAAAGGAGCAGCAGCCAGGATGCTTGCAGGTCGTCCAGACCTGGGATACGTTCCAGGAGAGAGCGGTGGCCCCGGGCGATGTCTTGGAGCTGGTGGGCCACATATTGAGCCCCGAGGATGGTGAGGCCCCGCTGCTACTTGGGAAGGGCGCGGTCTCCTCCTCCCGCCAGCCCGGCACCAGAAAGCTGAGCAAAGCCGCCTGGCGCACCCGCATCGCCCTGTTCCAAGCCGGAACCTGCACAAGTTTGTTGCAAGAGGCCGAGCCCCTACACCAGTCGGGCGGCACGAACCCAAACCCACAGAGGCCAGGGCTGCCCCCGCATATCGGCCATTACGCCGGCGAGGTTGTCCCTCCCGGGAAAGCGGGGGAACTGGTCGTGTCGACTGCAAGGTGGCACCCTCCCCACAATGGCAGGCCATTGGCAATGACCTCTATTCTGCGGTCGTCGAAGCAGTGAACGCTGGATATGTTCAAATCCGCTACACGTGTGTTTGTGGTGACCCGCGCTCCGGCTTCAAAGCATATCCGAGGCCTTCCCCGTCTGCGCAGAAGCCCTGACTGAGCACATGCTGATCGATGGTCGCCCAAGGGGTCGAGAGTGCGACGGCAACGACAAGTACGTGCAGAGAGTGACAATGGCAAACGGAGCCGGCGAAGAATGAACAAACGAAAATGTTCGGACGAATAAGTGGATTCGGGCCCATAGGGGATGGTGGTGAAGACACGGCCAGCATATGGGCTCGTTGCCCAAGTGAAAATAAAGCGGGCATTAGGGGGTCGCCTTGTGGTGATGTGGGCCTTGTTAGTCTCGTCATGCCACACATATTGTGACGGCTGGGAGTAAAACAGCCGCACGAACGGCAGACATGCGTTTGCCCCTTCCACGTGGTGGAGGCCCCGGAGCATACTGTTTCTCGAGACGGTGTCGTGCCCCCCGATGCCGTCGACGGACAAAATGGTGAGGTCTGGCTGGATTTCGGTGGCGGTTGTGATGGCATGGACGACGGCTTCCGTGCCTGCTCGTGTGGAAAGTGCAAACTGGTGTCGGCAGCAGGCTGTGTGGATGGGGGCAGCAAAATGCTGCGCCAGGCTCCTGGAAAGGACTCGGCGGAGCACATCGCCGATAATGATTCCACGGATGCGGCCATTGGGCTTCTGAGTGCGACGACCCAATCAAGCCCGATGGCTTTGGATATGGAGGACGGAACCTCTGCTGCTGCCAGCTGGGATACCACGCGGACGAATTTTTGCGTGCTCTCTTCGTCATCCAGCACCAGGCGGAGCGTTTCGGGCAGCACTGTTGCGAGTTCTCCGAAAGGAGCGGGTGAAAGTGGCTGCTGGGAGGGTGAGCCTGTTGGGCGGGTGGAACTGCAAGAGGTCTGGGTCAATGGGTTGGTACTGTGAGGCTGGGCACCGGCTAGGGTCTTGCAACTCGTCCAAAGTGCCCTGAGTCCTTGGGGCCAACGGTTGGGCTGTGAGGGCTTGGCGGGCGGCACTCAACTCGCCATGGCGGATGAGTTGGCAGGCTCGGTGTGCCTGTTGGTCTGCAAGATGCCCGCCGCCACAAGGAACAAGTCTACCCCGAACTCGTTGCGGGCGGTCGATGTCGTTTGGTCGTTCTTGCTTTCAAAATTGGGGGACGTTGGGGCGAAGAGACCTGCACCTTCCTTCGCCTCCTTGCGACCCACCGGGCCCGCCTGGACTTCGCCGGGCCCAGCCGTCTTCCCCCCACCAAATCCCCCATAATTGGATTGAGCATCTCTGGAGACTGGCCAGTATAAAAACCGTCTGCCAACCATTAAGGTGTTTTGGGGGACTCTGAAACATGCGTGAAAAAGGTGCGCGGAAAAAAAAAACTTGGTTCCAGTCATATTGTTGGTCTTGGTTCTGGGTACAAGATTTTGTATGGGTCCAGAAATAACGGGAAAAAATTCTGATAACTGGTATGCGATTTGCGTTTCCATCCGTAGTGGTGTTCATTCTAAGGCCGTCTGGGTGGCGTAGGCATTCTCACCCGGGAGAATAACCTGGGAGAGTTTTCTCGTTGTGAATGACAAACCTGCCAAGACTCTGTATGGAATGGGTCGCATTGGCGCGTCGACAAGGTGGAGCACGATGGTAGGCAGATCGTTTTTTTTTCCCAAGCGAGAACAGTATCCTCACGGTGGCAGTCCGTGGTGTGGAGTGGTGAACGAGCGCGACGGTGTAGGACAGCTGACCGTGGTAGGGGTAGGTGTGACGTGGGCAGGGTTGGAGCTGGATCAGGGCCCTGACAGTGCCAGAGGGTGTTCATCATCTCTTCTTTGACGTCGCTTCGAATCTTCTGGGTTTTCCCGCCCATGTCGAACGCAGGTGGATTGGTAGAGGTCACTTCAGGTGGAAGAACCTTCGGTTGTGCAAGTTGTCATGGTGGAAGGAAACCCTGTGGAGTAGGTGATGATGAAAGAGGATAGGGATTATGAGGTTGTACGAATTGTCAAAATTGGTGGGTGTGGGACGCCGCTTGAGTGGCGAGTTGTTCGCTGTGCTGCTGCAAAAATAAAATCAGAGCTTGGGACTGCGCCTGTTGTTGCATCTGCGGATCACCTCCGCTGAAATGTCCACCCATGCCGGGAACTGGACGCACTGTATTTACCGTCGGGGCCCACATAGCCTGCATTATCGGAGCTGGATGGACCCATCCAGGATCGAAAGTTCCACGGAAACAAGTATATGGAAAAAAACGCAGCGGTCAGGCAGATGCAATTTGAATCACCAGATGCATCCATAGGTAAGTGCAAAATCTCTCGTGATGAGGCTCAAAGCCGTCGGCTGTCATTTCAAACCCTTGGACAGGTTAAGCCTTCAACCCTTGATTTTGTGCACAATAAAACCCTACCAAAACAATCAAAGAAAGTGACGACGCCTGGAAGGCATGTCCCGCAGCCTGAGCCATGTCGTGTTGTAATACAAAATGCGAGCACTCGTTCGAGCTACATTAGGGAGAGTTTCAGCAATGAAAAAGTTATGAGAACTACACCGGGTAAATGCCCAAACTGCGGCTATAGTCAGGAGTCAAGAGTTCAAAAGTACGGGGAAAACCCAGATTGCAGCCAATGGTTCGGCCAGCGACGACAACGACATGGTGAGACCGATAAATTGCCGACTGTTTCACCTTGCAAAAACGAATGACTAAGTTAAAAAAAAGTTCAAACATGTTCAAACATGTTCAAGCATGTTCAAACATCAAGCCAAAGGATCACCATCCTACCTAAACAGGTATGCCCCGAGGGCCTCACGGCATCTTATCCTACCGACGTGGGTAACACACTTGCAAACACGGTCATTGCGAATCATGTTGTGGAGCGCATGATACGTGCGAAAAGACGTCCATTACACCTGACAGGAATGGGTCGGTGAAGAAACCCGAGCAAGGTACAAAGCTATCATCGCCAAAACCCATGCCGTTGCCAGAGTGAGAAAAAATGTTGGAGAATTCCCAAGTGATCATCACGCCGGTTCTGGGCTTAGCCGGTTGCCATTCACGATGAAATGAACACGGCCAAAATTGAATTGAAAAAGCAGGTGCGTGAGTCATGAATGCATCCCCCTTCGTTCGGCAATAAACTGCAAACATGAGATTGCCCCTGCAACCCTGAAACGCAATGAAGTGAAATCAAAACCTAAACCAGATTACCGGAATTCAAACAGGTTAGAAATTTGACATCCCTTCAGGTGGTGCACACACACACATGTTTGGAACAAACATAGCCACCTTGTGTGGGAAAGCTGAACGGATTTATGCCCCCAAAGATCCAAAAGCCTGAAGACGAGGATCAGCACGCCAAGCAGATTGCCTATGACCGTCGGGTTGCGGTCCGTTCTCTAATTTTCTCTCTATTGGTTTCCCCCTTTTGTGTCAAACCCTTTTCGGTCAACCCATGTGGAAGCGACGTGTTTTTTTAGTTTCGAGCACTCTTTCGGCACACGCTGCATCTTTAGCCATGCGCGGCGGCCCTGACTCCTTAGAGCAGATCTATGGAAATTGCATTGTGGTTGTTATATTTCCTCCGTGCTGCCATTTTAAAAAATCCACTTTCAACTGCGAATTCCTTTGCATGCAAAGTCGCGTCATTGTCTGACTCGCGGGTTCTTTTCATCACAAGTTTTTTCCTCAATTGGGACAGTGGCATGAAAGATACACTGGTGAAACCAAGGGCCACGTACTTCGACATGTAGGCTGCAGGCATGATGAAAAAATGATGCCGTTTCAATCAATGCCAATTTGTTTGGCACCTGTCCATGTAAGGCTCCAACGTTTGGGACCAACGAAATTTCAAAGGGCGCAATGACCTGGCTAGGTTGGGTGTTTGAATGATTGCACCATACACTGTTTGCATTTGTTGTGCTAAAAACAGCACGAAACGGGGCACCAACACCTTCCATGCAGAAATGCACGTTGAAAACAAAATGTCGACAGATTGATGCCCGCAACCTCAAATGCAACATTCCAACGTTCCAACAAACACTCCAAAAATGAAAGTTTCACTGCATTTCTGTTGTAATATGTTCTTGGCCGGCCACTGCCAACAGCAGCGTGCGCAAACCCATTGGAGCCGCATGTTCATTCACAAATTCGTTGTCTGAATTAAGTTTGGGTGCAATGTTCTTCCACTTTCCAAACCAGGCAGCGGATCCATGCTAGTCTTCCATGGGTTCGTTCGGCAAGCATGTTTGAGCCACTGTTCCTTGGGAACTTGCATCAAAAAGATTTTTGAAAAATGTCTTCAAATATGAAATGAAAGCCTCCCTTCATGTCAACACCATTGTGGTCCCAACATGTCTGAACCCTTTGATTTGACGGCTGCAGAAAATGCACCAGCAAAACCATGCATCGAAATCCTCCTTGGAATTCGGGTCCTCATTTTGACCCCTGAATCTTTAAGGGGCCACTGGTAGCCTCTTAAAGAATGCGAAACACAGAGCAAATTTCAGCCTTAAAGAATCTAACCCCAATGAACCAAGATTGCACACAGTAGCCACACATGTCCCATTAAAGGATTGGAGACCCAAGTTGCACACGAAGGGGTGCCCCTTTAAAGAATTGGATGCCCAAGTTGCAGTCGAACGGACGACGGCGCAGTCAAGCATCATCAATAGGATACGCATGCAATCATATGAGAACATATAGACTTATATATTTATTTCTGTCCATATTAGGATTATTAAAATCTATTAGGCATCTTTAGGTGAATTTTGAAAGCACATCTTTAACCTTGTTCAACTCTGGAGGGTGTTTTAAAACAAATTCTTGCATTTACAAATCTCCTTGGAATTATCCTGCTCACATGGATTCCAGCATTCTTTAGACAAAAAACGGAGGTCCACCTTGCACTACTGAAATGGATCAACCTGGAAGCCATAATCTGCCTGGCCCGGGCCTGCCCCTCTATAAAATACAATGTGTACCGAGGGATTGCCGGTACAAAATGCAAAACCAGGTCAATAATTTTTTTTTCCGTGCCTCTTTCTGCCTGTGCTTCTGCGCTCTGGGGATGCACCCTGTGTTAGGCGCGGGGCCTGTCTCCCGTTTTAGGAGGCGGGTAGCCGGGAGGGTGCCGCCGGGACCTCGTACCGGATGTCAGCGAGGAGGTCCGGCAGGTCCGGCGCGTGGCCGCCGAGGGTGTCGCCGTGAGTCGGCCAGCGCCCGTTGGGCGGCGACCGCCGCGATAGCCGACCAGCGTAGTTGCCAGCCGGCGGAGGCCGCCCCGCGTAGCCACGCTGGGGCCTCTTGCGCTCTTTGGTGCGCGAGGTGTCGCAGCAGTCGTTGGGTTTCGGGACCCCACCGTCCGCAGTCAAGTTTTGCCACTACAAAATGCAAATAGACCCAACATGAATATTCGATACGAAATTTTCAATTTATACAATATTGCATCATCAACGTGATCTGAAGCACTTTGGGGGATGATCAGCCAAATGCTGCTACAAAATGCGGCCACCAAGAGAACAAATATGCAATGACAGCCCAAAAGTGCCCTACAACATGCAAAATCCTGAGGTAAGATCTTCCAGAAACCAGAATTTTGGATTGGTACAAAATGTATGGCCCAGGAATACTTGGCGTATAAAATCTTCTTGGTCCAAACCTGCTTTGTACCAAACCCGGGCTAACGTATTTTGTAGAGGAAATTCAAACCCGATTGAAATGGCACATCTAAAGAATGCTTACCTAGGATGCTAGGGGGTCTAGGACCATCTAAAAAAATCATGGCCTAGGCAACCGACGACAACAAATACAAAAAAACACAAAAAACAAATACAAAAGTAAACCTCTAAAAAATAGGGCGTCCATGTTAGCCATGTGGACATCAACAAATATAAAAAAAAACACCAAACGTACCCAAATGATTCTTTTACACGCCGGAGATGAAATTTGCCGTTCGTCTGACTATGCCAGATTAGCGGTTTCTGCTTTTGTCATGGTAGGAGTTTCTGCCAAAGCGTTGTCTTTGGCTGCCTCCTCTTGTTTCATTTTTCTGTTTTGATCAAAATTGATTGTAAACAACATATCCCCCTTTGCATTCAATCTTTGACCCGGGTGTCCGGTTCTTTGGTGGAGGGTGCCATTAAAAAATAAGGCCCTACCTCCGGACACAGTGGGTTGCGATGGATCTTCTAGAGACAATTGGCGTTATGCCTGGGGATCTTGGTGATTTCCTGGGGACGTCTGGATATGAGAACTGGGCTGGGTTCAAGCTGGCGTTTTGATTCTTTAAAGGCTCAAGCCTGTCGACCCTACAATTGCGGATATTTTGGGGGAGGTGCCACTAAAGAATCAGGTCCGGCCTCCCGACACAGGGAAGGGTGTCCTTAAAGAATCAGGTCCTGCCAAAACACTGTTTTTTCTGAGTTGGCGTTTTGATTCTTTAGAGGCTCAGGGCGTGTCGACCCTGCAAAACTTCGCAGTTTTTCACAGTTTGGTTTATTTTTTGGGAGGGAGCCATTAAAAAATAAGGTCCTACCTCTGGACACAGTGGGTTGCGTGGGTTCAAGCTTGCGTTTTGATTCTTTAAAGGCTCAAGCCTGTCGACCCTACAACTGAGGATATTTTTGGGAGGGTGCCACTAAAGAATCAGATCCTGCCTCCCGACACAGGGAAGGGTGTCCTTAAAGAATCAAGTCCTGCCAAAACACTGTTTTTTTTGAGCTGGCATTTTGATTCTTTAGAGGCTCAGGGCGTGTCGACCCTTTTTTCACAGTTTGGTGTATTTTTTTGGAAGGTGCCATTAAAAAATAAGGTCCTACCTCCGGACCCATTGGGTTGCGATGGATCTTCTAGAGACAATTGGTGTTATGCCTGGGGATCTTAGGGATTTCAGGGGACGTCTGGATATGAGAACTGGGCTGGGTTCAAGCTGGCGTTTTGATTCTTTAAAGGCTCAAGCCTGTCGACCCTACAATTGGGGATATTTTGGGGAGGGTGCCACTGAAGAATCAGATCCTGCCTCCCGACACAGGGACGGGTGTCCTTAAAGAATCAGGTCCTGCCAAAACACTGTTTTTTCTGCGTTGGCGTTTTGATGCTTTAGAGGCTCAGGGCGTGTCGACCCTGCAAAACTTCGCAGTTTTTCACAGTTTGGTTTATTTTTTGGGAGGGGGCCATTAAAAAATAAGGTCCTACCTCCGGACGCAGTGGGTTCCGATGGATCTTCTAGAGACAATTGGTGTTATGCCTGGGAATCTTGAGGATTTCTGGGGACGTCTGGATATGAGAACCGGAATGGGTTCGAGTTGGCGTCTGATTCTTTAGAACTATACCCTGCAAAACGATAAACATATTAATTTGTAAAAATCAATGTATGCATTTTTTTTTATCATATCTAGTGTCAGTTTGGTTGCGTTTATTGAGCCATGGTTTGGCCAGCGCTTTAAACATTGACAAACTCAACTTAGGGTTCCAAATTAAATTTCTGAAGAATCAAGGGCGAACTGATAACCCGGGTTGACTTATGTTTTAGTTAGGGGAAATTCGGAGAGGGATAACACGATATGATTTTCAAACGCTCTGTTTTCCAACGCTCATAAATGTGCAATAGTCCGGCGTCCCTGAAGAATGTCCTTGTTGAAACATCAATTGAAATGATGTCAATGTTGAAACTTGTTTGGCTCATCTGCGATACCAACGATGGCCGGCGCACAACAGCAGTTTGAACAAATCTCTCTAAAAAAAATCATGACCTAGGAAACCTTTGCACGAAATGGGGACTCCAGGTTAGCCATGTGGAAAATTCATCTGTTTTTGCATAAAAAGAAAATTCGACAACCCGGGCTGTTGCATTTTTTAGTGGAAATTCCAAGGGGGATCATTTACATGCATTCACTCATCACGTTTTCATCTTCCATCTCACTTTCACATCTTCTGCTTGTGAGCATCTGTTCAAGCGGCAGGCAAGCTGGTTTTCATTTGACACACAATGCCAAAAACATTTATGAACATATCAAAAAACAAGTTCCTAGAATCTTCCTAGGAAGGCCTCTTAAAGAATAGGAGACCGTCAAAACAACAGTAGACATCTTAAAAAATGAAACTGTTTTTTTTGCTGGCCAAACTGTCCTTTAAAAAATACAGTTTTTTTTAAAGACATCACTCACGTCCTCAAGTCTTCAGGCTAAATTCCCAGGAGGATGCATCGAAGATGTATGACAATGTGGTCTCTTGCGTTTGCCGACAATTGTTGGTTGATTGGCAAATGCCTTTGAAAGCTTTGAAAAGGTGGCGCGATGCCTAACCCCTTTAAACTGTCGAGTTGGGAATTCCAGCCAAGCCCATCCATTTCAGTTTCTTGGTATCCCGTTTGGTTTGAAATGGGATAATCGCGAGGACTCTCTACGCCCCCCGCCGATATACGCCGTTGCCTTGGTATACGCCCGTGTTTACATTGTTTTGCTGTTGTGCCAATCGAGATCGGTGTATCGGTGCGAACGCGGCAATCGATGTTTCGGTTTATCGGTGAGCGCGCGACACTCGATGTATCGGTGTCTCGGTGTGTAAGCCCGCGCGGTGTACCGGTGCATCGATGCATCGGTGCGAAAAACCCTTCGTAGACCCCAATCCCCAACGCTAGTAGTTTTGGCGATGGAAGTGTTTCTTGGACAAGGTTCTCTATGTTGCCAGTGGCATGGCGGAGGGATGCGGAGCGTAGCCAAAATACGCGAGCCGCACAAACATCCAATCGCAAAACGTCGAGCGCGCTTGAAAACGGCCAGCCCCCCATTGAAGATAATCCCTATTCCATGACGGCCCCCCAGTTGGACACCCGAACCGTTCGAAGATGATGTTTTTTCCCCCGATTGCGTTGTTAGCAGCCTTGTTAACCGCATTGAGCGGGGTGAGTCCCGATAAGATTCGAGATGATTCGAGTATTTTGCGTGCTCTGTTTCCGCCTCAAGGCAGTTAGTTACGCCCACCCAATATCTGAAGCCCCTGAATCTGACGCCGTCTCGATCAATGCACGTGCGTCCGAATCTGCGTCTGCATCTGCGTGTGAGTGCATCTGCGTCTGCCTCTGCGCGTGCGCGCGGCTGCGTCTGCATCTGCGTCGCGCGCATGCATCTGGGCTTGCGTCCGCGTGTGCGTGCTCGTGTGCGCTGTGCACGCGCGCGTGTTTCGCGTCTGTGTCGGCATCTGCGTCCGCCCACGCGCGCGCGTGTGCATCTGCGCACGTCTGCGTCTGCGCATGCGCGGGCGCGCGTGTGCGTCTGCATGTGCGCGTCTGCATCTGGGTGTGCGTCTGCGTGTGAGTGTGTATGCGCGCGCGCGTGCTCTCAATGTAAATGACGCTTCGGGGCTATACCTGGCGTCAGTTTTGCAGAGCTCGAACCGGGTCTCATCTGCGCACGGTTTTGGTTTTTGTGTTTCAGTGATGGAATATCAGCCCTGGATTTTTTGTCCTGTCGAGGCATTCTTCGTCGTTTCTCTGGGGGGGCAAGATATCACATTCCATTACTAGGAGTGGTCCCACCCCACCCCCCCACTTGTTGATGCGCGTGTCTAGCTGAATATTATGAATGAATTTCCCCATCCAATTTGCATGTCAGTGAACGTTTCCATCCTGTTCGCGTGTGAGGGGGCGTTAGCAACCCAGCAATACGAATGAAACCCACCATCTTGTGCGTGTGCCAGCGAACGTCACCATCCTCTGCGCCTGTTAAGGAAGGTGGTCACCATCGTGTGCGCGTGTTAATGAACGTTACCATCCCGCCGCCGCACCCCAGACTCTATCTTCCCTCACCCGATGCGAATCTGAGGGAACTCACTACCCGGTGCATGTGTCAGAAAACGTCACCATATGCCATACACTTTGCGCGTGTAAAGGAATGTTGCCACCCCACCCTACCTCATCCCACCCCCACATCCTCCGTCACCCGATCCTTCGTCACGCGATGCGCGTAGGTGAATATGAGTAGACGTCACCATCCTCTGCCCGTGTCATTGAACGTCACCATCCTGCGCACGTGCCAGTTAACGTCACCATCCTGTTCGCCTGTGACGAAAGTATGTTGCGATCTCACCCAGCACCCCACCGCACAAAAACCCACTCCCCTAATACCTTTGCACGTGCGCCGGTGGGACTCAAAAGTTCCTGCGCGAGGGCCGATGAGCCAGAAAACACGCACGCAGATGAACCCCAGACAGGTAAAAACAGTATCCTCTTAACGTCAGTGGCAATAATATCCACATTATGTTGTCCACATGTGATTTTGCTTACAGCCGCGTTCTTGTGCGCACAGCTCGCTTCTTGGGGGGGTCTCCATTGCCATTGAAACACCAATCAAAGCAATCTTGGGCCTTGGGCCAAAGTGGCCAATCATTCGCGCATCTGCTGATCTTTGCAGATTGAATTGAGTTTGTCTAAATCTTTTTTTGTAACAATATACCATTCCACCAAAATCCAAAAGGCACCGCTAAACTCCACAAAAGTAATCCAGGGATTGTTAGGGGGCAAATGGCTATAATCAATGTTTGCAATGTTAAGTTAAGAATCCCTGCGTGCCTATGCGTTGTGCTGCAAAGATCATACCAAATGACACATCATGTAGTAATTCATGCCAATGGTTGTGTCACTCTTCCGCATGGCACACCGAGATGAGACAACAAAGTGCTACCTGAGACAACTTAGGGTTTTCACCCAGTACGTCCTTGGAAGCTTCATGATTGCCACATGCACGCTGTAACCTTTTTAGCCATAGACGCGCACGCGCACACACACACAGTCACACAAGCGCACAAACACACACCACGCACACGCATACGCACACGCACGCGCACGCGCACCAAATTTGACATCTAGCGTGTGTGGCTAGACCCAAGCGCGCGTGCGTAGGCGAGACCAACATGCGCATGCGCACTCGAGGCCGTGACCTAATGCTTTGACTTCTGGGGCAGTATTTGTTCTTCAATGATGGGACATCGACGCGTCTTCTCTAAGCGTTTCATGAATGCAACCAAAGGACCTGCAAATGGCAAGTTCAATTCCAGGAATACTGTAGCAAACGTAGGCAGGGACGTTTCCGGACGCTTCTGCATGCATGTAGAAGTGTTTATTCTCAAGATTCTCAAGGATAGGGGGCCCCTGGTCTGCCGGCCCCACACCTTGCAGGCACTGTCTCATGATACGTTCAAGGGCAGGCGCCGAGAAGCAGTCATAGCAGTAAATCTCTATGAACATGAACGAATTAACATTGTACATCATCAAGCGTCTCAAGTTAGCGTGGGGCCACTGTAGTGACCATGGATGTGTTGGACGCTGCCATACCTTTCTGAGTGGCTGTTAGTGTTTCGGCTGCTTTATGCTGTCTGATTCAACTTTTCTTTCCCTGAGTTTCCCTTGTAGTTGTGATATTAAACGGTTTTCTATAGGAACAAGTGTAAGTTACAAGAGCAAGTCAGTCATTTTAAGGTAGGAGATCACGCACTAGGTTTTTCACGAGAGCTGCAAAGAACACACAAGAGTTTCTCAACATCTGCAAAGCAGTAAAATCCCAGAGGGGAGGAAAAAAAAAAGTTGTCACTAGATGCGGCAAAAGACTTGCACAGGGAAAGCATGATTCAAGAAAATGCAGTCTCCATTTTCTTAGTTTTAAGAACCTTATTTGCTCATGTCCAGAGATGAAATCGGCGATTTTAGAAGCGCGCTGAGGTATGGGCTGGGAACCTAGTAGCTGGTTGAAGGCTCTATAGCCTCTATAGCGCAGTCGTTATGATATGAATATTGACTAGTTTGGCAGGAAGTCGGCAAGGTTGTGTGCGCAGGGGCTTCCCCTATTGTCGTGAATGGTGCCATGCCTATGTGCTGCCCTTGCGAGGTTGTCTTCCGCAAAATGTCTTTCGCTGGCGAAGCGAAATAGCGTAGTGCGAACTTCATTCGGCAGTTTAGCTGCAAACAGGCTTTTTTCTCGATGCACGTTGGGTCTCAATTGCGGCACTGCTGTTTCAGGACAATAGCCTACTCAGATACTTCATGAAGGCAACAGTTTCATGATTCGAAGCCTCTGTAAGAAACCCTCAAGTAGCTGCTCCAAATTCATTTTTCGCTGCCTCATGGAAGCATCTTTGGGCGTGTCCTTCATTCGCAGTCCCGTGCATGAGCACCTTCTGATGCCATAAAGAAGTGCTCCACTCCTTTAGCTAATCAAATCAAACAATGAGAGATGAGAGAGTGAGACCTGGATACATACACTACAAGTAGCCATCAATAGCCATCACTTGAGGCTAGACCAGTTCCGGACAATGCGGTTCTTTCGACCTTAGCTGCAGACGTCAAGCGCACTCGTGCTGAATGTGCACAGCTCCAAACTTGGGCACGTGCGTCGCCAAACCTGGAAGCCCATCAACGCCATAGTCGACAACGCCCAACTGAGAGATTGCCTGAAACATTGGATTCAATGCGCAAATTGCAAACCTCCATATCATATCATTATATATCATTCATATACACGTATGTATACACGTTGTACTCCAAAAACAAGTCTGTGATTTGATGATTGATGGCCATGACAGGGACGGGACTGCACGTTACCACAATGCCTTTGCAGTAGGATCATCCAGAAGTGACCTCCAATTCCACGGTGCAACAGCAATCTCATCATTGTTGCCAAATCATAAAATCGATGAGAAATTCTGTCAAAAGCTGAATGAGTTAATATATGGTCTGGCAAGAGACCAGAAGGCCGTGGCTTCCATTTGCGCTTGCACTACACCTCAAACACCAGAAGTGTTTTGATCAAGTCTGAGTTGGAGGTGCAGATGGAATCAATTTGATGTCACTGCTCTTTTGGGATGCCGACAAAAGAAAGCCCTACGTCCCGGCTTCGTATAGTCTTCGGAAACCGTGTAGGTCACCAAATTGTGCCTCGAATGGCTCTGGTTGTGTCTGAAAATATGGTAGCCCAAAATCTCATGGTCATCATTGCTTCTCAGAAATTGCCATTTTGGGCTCTTTTGGACAAAGCCAAGTGCAGTTGGAATTCTTGGGCTGTTACAGGACTCCAAGGACCTCAGTGCGAAAAATGCAAGTCTGCAGGGACCACCCAACTTCCAAACTACGTAGCGCTGCTTTGATGCTCCAAATCCTGCATGTGTAGTTATTGTAGGTAACCCCTTTGTCCAACCCATGTATTATGGTCAAAGGCTCACCTAGGACGACTTTTTCACTCACTTAGGACGACATTTTGAGATGTGGACTTCAACCTTCAGGGTTAACTATAGTGGTCCATGGTACTGACCATGTCCAGACTTTCTGCATTTACAGTTCATCTGTACAGTCTGTACATATCTAATTTGGCTTGGATTGGGTGACTTGTTTTCCTTTCCTAAGCCAGATTCACACTTTTCTGGCGGCAGACTGACTCGCACAGTCTCACCTTCGATCCTTTGCATAGCTTAATTCGCAATGCAGTCTGTCTCTAAGTTGTGGACGGTGAAGGAAAGAGATTTGGCTTGCAATCCAGTAGCATTGGCCGCTGGCGGTCTGAAGTCAGCAAGAACAAAGCATCAAGGCTGCATCAAGCCTATGAATGGCGCTCTTGTACACATCAGGAGAAGTGAGGAGAAGCTTTGAGTTTAGTGCAGTGGCAAGCTCTTTAGCAGCTTCCGGAAGTTCAGTATGTCTCCAATCTCCTGTGCGATCTAAGCTTACACTCTACAGCGGAGGAATGCAACAAAGAAGCAGTCAGAGTACTTCTCCTCAAGCAAATCAGTTTCATCACACTGCAGCGGATCCTGCAGGATGTTCAAGACTCAACTTCAGATCAGCTCTGTCAATCCACACCAGCCACTTTCAGCTGTAAGTAGTCCCTATCATCAGCGAAACATCCTGGAGATCCAAGCAGGGTTGCAGCTTTCTCATGTGGCTCACAGCAGCACCACACCTGCAATGCAGCTTTCAGGGACGCGGTAGCAGCCGCTGTTTTCAGCAAGACCCCTTGCCGATGAGGGGAGAGAATGGGGTCAGAAGATATCTTGATATCTGAATCTGAGTGCAGTGCTGCCCTCCGGATCAGAACACCTTGGATGTCAAAAAACGAATGATGGAAGCGAAACAAGGGTCTATGTAATCCACTTAGCACTGGTTGTAATGTGACGGTGACACACGTCTGAAAGCTACAAACATCTTCTAACCAATATCTGTAATGTCTTCTTGCATTTATTGAGCCCAGATGCTCTTGAAAAATCTTGTACCAATGCCGGACTCAACATTGGCCTCGAGTCCAAAAGCCAGCACGTCTAGCAGGCAGTGGGCAATGCTCCAATCAGCTTGATCGATTTAGCAGTCTCTTCCCCCAATGGTTCCATATGGTTCAACGACTTCAGGGAAATCGCTGCGAAACTCGCCAAGCAGCTTGGTGAGAGCACGAAAATGCTTGGTGCAGCCGCCGCAAAAGGTGGCTCCACCGGCAAGAATCGGTATAAGCGCCTCGGTTCTTGGCTCAGCCTAATCAAAAGCTACCAATATTGGGTTGTTTGATATATATTTTTTTTAATTATTATTTTAGGGTACCAGTCATTACTTACTGATAAGTACCATGGGAAATGTTGGAAAGCTCCCAGCTGAAGCAACTAAACGTGGCTGTGGCTCACCTCTCAGAGCCCTACATCCAGCAGTTGGTGCCCCAGCAGCAGCAGATCGGCCCTCCCGGCGAAAAGGCCACCCTTTTGATTCAGGATATGATCCACTTCCCAGACAAATCAGACAATGTTTCAACATGAACTTTCAAGCAGGATACTGTGCCATGCCATCAAATCTGAACTGCGCCCCTATGCCCAGGACAGTTTCAAGCCTCGCAGCAAGTAAATGCATGGAGACCTTGTCTCGGAAGATCTCAAAAGCATGGTACGTGTTTTCAATTCCGCACTTGTCTAAGCCCTTGGTGACCGTGTAGATCCGTGTAGGCTTTGAAAGTCAAAGGCATCTCGTTCCACCAAACGATCCAACGATCATTCCCTGACAGTCGCTCTGCTGAGCCACCCAATATGAGCAGGTTCTTGGCCAAGCTGATTGACCACAAAGTCCATTCAAGGTCCTTTTGGGGACCGTCATCTTGGCAGCTTTGTAGGCCTCAACTTGATCAACTTCCCCCATTCTGCATAACTCTGGGATATCCATGATATCCACAAAAACCAGCTGGTGAATATCTGAAAGCCAGCTGGAAAGTTGATCCTGGCCTCAAAGTTGCCTATCGCATTCGGAAGGAACGGATTTTTGAAGTCCTCTTCCACTAAGGCCCTCAGTTTCGTTGTGCCAATTATATAAATAGGCCCAACGTATTCCAACAAGCGTCGTTGACCCCCCAAAACTTCTGAGGCGTCTAGCAGACAGTGCCAGGCTTCCCCGGCAACATTGATGTGCATGTCGTTTGTGACCTCGGACCCGAAGCCACAGGCTACCCCACAGGGTACCCCATTCCACCCATTCCACTGGCGTCTAAGGCGCCTCTGTGAGGACGGGAGATCCAGCAGTGCCACCCAAAATCTGTGCCTGGACTGAAAAAGACAATCTCACAGCTGAAGAAAGCGCCACTGCATGCAACACTGTTAGACTGTACCCCTAATTTTCAAGACCAATAGAAACCCTGGTTAAATATTGGATCTATTCATTTTGGGGACCACATGGGGGGTAATGAATATTCAGGGGATGGGATTGCTGTCAAACTTTGAGGGTCTCACAAACCGTTCCCGGCAACGCTCTAGTGGGTGGATTGCAGGAAGGAGCGCCGCCAGCTTCTTCGATGCTATCTGAACCTGGCAGATTATAGCAGAACACAGCAGGCATAGCCTGGTAAGTGAGCAACTTGCAGCACGGCTCACATCAATTACGCATGTCTGTGATGGAAGATGAGATATGTCCAACTGATCACAAGCAAAAAATATTCCCCCGTTCTTCCACACGTGTGGTTCAAAAGCCTGTCATCCCCTTATCCCGGTTGGTGGATAAAAGAATTAAGGATTCCCAATGATTCCCAGCTCATAGATGGTGATCCCCAGAGATCAACAGAGAGGGTGCCACGGTGCCTCCAGCAGTCCAGCACTGTCCGACTTCATGAAGATGCCCGCGTAGCCCGCCAAAAGCAGGTCGTGGATAGCCCAAAGGTCATCGGACTTGGCCAGATCCAGCCCAGGGGCTTCCGTGCGTCTCCAATGGCTTTTGGAAGAAGCTGACTTCACCCTGGAGATTGGCAATGGCAATCGCAAAGTCGGCATGAGCAAGCTATTTATACAGTAGCATGTTCATGCATGTTCTAGAGAATTTTCACAGATTATGCTTATGTGATCTATTATGTGTTCAACTTGTTCAATAAAACCTGGTGGTTTTCCATTGACATAGCTGCCATGTTTGCAAGTGTTCCGGCTCGAAATCCTTGAGGAGCCGACAGGAGTTTCAAGATCCCAACAGCGATGAGGCCAAGACCAAGCACACCTCAGATCGCAGCCAAAGTCACGGCGGAGTTGCGTACCGGTCATGAGGAGATCAAAGTGCGGCCAATGCGTGAAGCATTATCATTATCTAGAGTAAAATATGTAATAAAATATAGCATAATATATACTGTAATGTAATATAATATCATATCACATCGTATCATATCATATAATATCATCATATAATATAATATAATATCATATCATATCATATAATATCATATACTATGATATGATAAATAATATGTATACATATATGTGTACATATATGTATGTATATATTATATATATACATATTTTCAAACAAATACATATTACAGTCGCAGTTAGGATGGGAGAACGCAGTGCTCACAAAGCTTCCTCTGAGAGAATATCTATGAACCGAACGATATCATGATTGCGCCTGGGATCTACTCTACCTGGGATGCGCGATGAACTGAACGGTATTATGATTGGGCCTGGCATCTACTCTATGTGGGATTCTGAAGCACATGGGATTGTAAAAAAATAGGTGTTCCGTCCAGGTCCTTATCAGCGTCTCCAGCAAAAATAGACTGCGCAGGCGCAGGACCCCACGCAATCCCGTTGTATTTCCTGAGTCTCAAACACATCATCATCCATAATGCTTGGCCTTTCATTGGGTTTCCTCGCCCCACAGTGCCCGCTGTGCCTGCCGATTGACAGATGACAGATGTGCTTCATGCTGTGCATGCCTTGTGGGCGCCTGCAAAGTTTGGGGTGAGTGGTTCATCACCACCACCACCAGGTGTCTCAACCGAGAATGGCGCGATTTCCGCCTGCCATTGGCAGCTCAATCATTCCCAAAGACAGAAACCTCATGAACGAAACTGCTGAAATATGCTGGAAGATTGGAACATGGTTGTGGCGCATCTGTGGCTCAATCTTTAGGAGCTCTGATTATGTCCAAGCCTCATCGGTTCTTATCCTCGCACGTGCCATGCCACACAGATCACCCAGGACTTGGACTCCTGCAAGATATATCAAGAATTATCTAGATGTCATAAGATATCTTTATTACTCGTGACAGCATTCGCAAACATCTTGGAAAAGGTGGATGTCAAAACGACCGGGACACGACCTGCACCTGGACCTAACCATGGACCTGAGGCAAGCGCCTGTCCCGGTCAAGACTTAGGAACCACACTGAGGTGTCATCGGTGTCATGATCGTCATGGAGTGCAAAATATGCCAAATGCAAAATATGCAAAGTCAAGCATGCTAAGGCGCTAAGGGTGGGCTATCTTTCAGGGTAGTTGCATGATAATTCTCAGTTTCATTGAAACATCTGACACAAACAGAGAACGTTTGCGGTTGGAAATGACTGGATAAAGCTATGGCAGCTATGGCATCTATGGCCATGCGGCCATGCCTGTTTTGAGCCAATGGCTGTTGGACCATGTTGGACCAGCGCCCAATTCTTGCTCCAGCCATGGTCAAAACATGCCAAACGTTTCGAGGTCGGCAGCGCAACGTTTCGGCCCGGCTATCAACGCCCTGGCACTCTAAGATTGATCTAGGGCACTATGCACACGTCTGAGCAGGGAAAACAAAATCCATAAAGAAGAAAACTGGAGAAGAAACAAATCATAAACAAATCATATGTCTATGCTCTTCAGTACAATTTCTGGATGTTTTCGCACGTCTTCCCTGCCAGAAACAGTCAACTCAACCTCGATGTTGGGTAAACTGAGAGCCTCCATCAAAGCAGGTTCACACCGAATCAAAGCGGTTTCCAAACCCAAAGCCACCAGAAATATCAAGAAATATCCAGCAACTGCTGCCCTGGAAACATTGAAAGCTACATCAATCTACTGCAGTTCATGGACCTGCGAAAGGCGAGGGCGCGCCGCCGCCAAAGGGAGACGCACCGGTTCCACCTGGAAGAAAGGCTTCAGATGCTCAGGCTCAGACGTTTGGCGGACGCATAGACGCGGACAAGCTGGGAGTGGTTGACAGTGACATCTTTGTCATCTTTGTCATCTTTGATGTATCTGTAACAAGGTATCCATTGGCATCTTCGCACTAAGCTTTCGAAGTGCAAATGATAAGTGTGTGAGGGAAAGAGGGAGGAAGGATTTAAGACACAAATATATCAGCTGAACAATGGGCAGGTCAGATTGTAGGTTTCCCCAAACTGCACCTGGGGAAAACGGTGCATGAACTCTTTCACACGCCACTTTTGAAAGAAGATTTCCTAAGGGGCTTCCCAATCCTGTGTCAGAGGGTAGAGGACTCAGGTCTGCTGAAGAGAGGTGCAAATGCATTGAATGTGGTGTCCTCAATATGGTGTAGGTGTCCAATCCCTAGCGCGAGTAGAAGGCGAAGTTTGAGTCTCCCTACCAAAGGGTGAGGCGCCGAATGGAGTCGGAGAAGGTGCAGCTCCTGACAAACAATATTCCACTCGAAAAAACAACTGGTCACCGTTTATAAAAATGTTGGCTGTTGAGTATCAAAACCTCCGAATCTGATCCAGGAACTTGAGAAGCCCTACAAACCAACTCTGAAACTCTTGACTTTCTAGAAGTTTGTCTACGACGGAGAAGAAACAGAAAATCATTCCCTTCGAATCCTAGTTCTGATCAAATCTTGGGCCAACCCTCTAAAAACGTTTTAACACAGAAATGCAATGTGCCCACTCAGCCTCCTCCTCCAAATGGAGATGGTGCTTGCCTCATCAAAGATCTCAGATGATCTCAGTCCAAGTCTCCACTTCACCAGTGGAATGGCACTAAGTTCCGGGCCCACCGAAGGGACTGGGAGATGCCCCTGCTGCCATCCCTGCCGTTGCGAACGGCGACGCTGTGGCTCCACCTGAAAGTCGCCACTGGGAATTGCACCGACCAAACCAAGTCTTGCCCTCGATGCATCCTTTCCATGATTTCACCAGGCAAAATCTAAACACTGAAAGGTCCAAATGGTCCAGCGAACCATAGCCAGCCAGCCTCCAAAGGCCGAGCCAGTTTGTTGCGCTAGGGCTCCAAAGCCGCCCATGCCTCCGCCGCCACCCATGCCTGCAGGAATTTCAAACAAGGAATGCTATTGGGACTTCCACTGTTCCACCGAGCAGTCCGGCATGATCAAACTCAGGTTCCCGGTCTGGTGCAAGTCTCGGCCTGTTCCACCAAAGGGAGATGCCGTGGTGCCACCAAAGGGGGAAGGAGGGGTTCCTCCAAAAGGACCGCCTAAGGCACTAGGCGCACCAAACGCTGGCTGACCCATTGGCTGACCCATTGGCTGACCCATTGGCTGACCCATTGGCTGACCCATTGGCTGACCCATGGGCTGACCCGTGGGCTGACCCATGGGCTGACCCATGGGCTGACCCATCAGCTGACCCATGGGTTGACCCATGGGTTGACCCATGGGTTGACCCATCATTCCTCCTCCCAAGCCTTGGATGAGAGCCATCAAAATGAGCATGACATCATGAGTCGCACTACAGTTACGTCAAAACCACCCATATCTGCAGCTGAGCGACCGCCATTGCCAGGCATGGAGCCCCCAAAGGATCCTTTCAAGAGTTCCGAAAGAAACTGCCAATAGTTGGGGTGTCTCATGCTTTGCAACTGGGTCCTGGAGGGGAACCAAAGAGGCCACCTTGACCACCAGCTTTGATCTCAGGTTCAGGCTGAACCTTGTACTTGTTGCCTCAGGTGACTCAAATGTCATGCAACAATCCGGAACTCAACAACGTCAGAAAATGCTCTCCACATACTCAAAAAGCAAGCTCACTGCAAATCTTTGAACTTTGCCATCCACGATACAGATCTTCAAGTACATGGTGTGCTCCTGACCGACATACTTTGCCATCAAGCTGTCGATTTCGTTCCTTACAAAGAATCCGGAATGAAGACAAAAAACATTCCCCAATTGATGACTTTGACGTGCCAAGTGACAATCATGTTGCCATCTAACATTAGCTTGAACTTTGACAGGCACCGGTATTGGACTTTGGAGCTAGCACAAAAAATTGACTGGCGGCGTGCAAGACTGATGAACTGAGTCCAGTGCAACTCACGTCACCCAAATCAGAAGCACAGCACAACACTCACGGCAGCACATGCACGGCGCCAAGCTTCACTTTGCTGGGATTGTGTTGCATGTAGATCTTCAGCATGCGGTCTTTGTATGCCTCTCAAAACTAGGTGATTTTGGTTCAGAGCGCGGCATTTCATGCGGGTCTATGAACTAAGTCTGCAGGATGTTCCGTCCATCAGTGGAAGGGTCCTGTGTTGTAGTCGTAGTGGTTCACTTGGCAAGTCAACAAAAACATACGAGTGCAGAGTTCCAAGCACTTGCTAGCTGTGTCTGAAAGTTGTCATGCTGAACAGATTCGGAGTTGCAGCGACGATTTGCGAAAAACGACCATGGAACAGGCACAATCACCCTTCTCACCTCGTCTTGACAGCTGCCAAGTGCGAGGTCCCCAAAATCGGACTTGTGCTTCAAAAGATCACCAAAATCTGTGGTCTTTAGTCCAAATATTGACCCATGCCGTACCCCAAAGGAATCCATCTTCCCCATTGCCTGTTTGACATCCAGACCACCAGCAGGAGCTGCAGGCGCACCAAAGCCACCGGCACTAGCTCCTCAGGACACCAGATTCTGTGAACAGCGAAATTCTACTTCCAAATCCTGACATGACAAGAGACAAAGACATTCAGGTCCAAGTCGCCTCCCATGGCTGAGCCAAAAAGCCCTCCGGATGCAGGGGCTCCAAAGCCTGCACCTGTCAACAGCACTTACCATATTTTATCATAATTTCAAGTTTGGTAAAGGCATCAATCAACAGTCCATTTTTCTAATTTTCCAAGCAAATCTGGTTTCACTATGTTTTCCCCGCCTCCAAATGGCGACGCCGACATGGATGAGGATGACATGGCACCACCAAATGGCGAAGATGAAGAGGCCGGTGCCCCAAACCCTGTGGCACCACCGAAGGGCGTTGCTTGCGCCACTCCCATGGCGCCGGCGCTGGAAGCTCCAAACAAACCGCCGCTGGGCGATCCGAAGCCAAGGCCACCAGAGCTGACGCCGCCGCCGAAGGCGGAAGGCGCTTGCGGCCCTTGCGGCGCTTGGGGCTGGGCAAGGCCTGGAACAGCAAACGACTCGGAGCCATGACACTGACAGAGATGACCAAAAAAGTCAAAAAACGGATCAAAGTTATTTTGCCTCCTCCAGCGCTGATTTCCGGCTCGGGCTGCACGTTGTACTTCTTGCAAATCTTCAGATACATCGTGTGCTCTTGGCCGACATACTTTGCCATCAAGCTGTCGATTTCATTCCTGGGAGATGTTGCGAATGTGCAAAAATACAAAAAATCACGAATTCACCTGGCACCGCAAACATGAAGCATTAGAACATCTTTCATCCAGGTAGCACTTTGCCCGGATTGTGCTGCTGGTAAATTTTGATCATGCGTTCTTTGTATGCCTGGCACCAAGCTAAGAAGCGCCAAACTAAATGGACAAAGGAGACATGATGAGAGGTCAAATTTCTGAGGCCTCATGGACCACAAACTCAGATCCTTTGGATCCTTTTTTGATGAATTAAAACCTTGTATTCTCACTAGCACTGTCTTGAAGTCGACGGCGCCTGCTTCACATCGATGGCTCCAGCCGGTGCTGTTGCAGGAGCTGATCCAAAGAGGCCACCTCGCAACACGAAAAAAAAAGGCGAAATGATGAAAGTTGAGGATACATTGGATACATGACTTAGACTGACGCAGACTGACGCAGACTGACGCAGACTGACGCAGACTGACGCAGACTGACGCAGACTGACGCAGACTGACGCAGACTGACGCAGACTGACGCAGACTGACGCCGACTGACGCCGACTGACGCCGACTGACGCCGACTGACGCCGACTGACGCCGACTGACGCCGACTGACGCCGACTGAGGCCGACTGACGCCGACTGACGCCGAGTGAGGCCGACTGACGCCGAGTGACGCCGACTGACGCCGACTGACGCCGACGGACGCCGACGGACGCCGACGGACGCCGCCGGACGCAGACGGACGCAGACGGACGCAGACGGACGCAGACGGACGCAGACGGACGCAGACGGACGCAGACGGACGCAGACGGACGCAGATGGACGCAGACGGACGAAGACGGACGCAGACTGAGGCAGACTGAGGCAGACTGACGCAGACTGACGCAGACAGACGCAGACTGACGCAGACTGACTTAGATTGACTTAGATTGACTTAGATTGACTTAGATTGACTTAGACTCACTTAGAGTGACTTAGATTGACTTAGATTGACTTGGATTGACTTGGACTGACTTAAGACTGACTTAGATTGACTTAGACTGACTTAGACTGCCTTAGATTGACTTAGATTGACTTAGATTGACTTAGATTGACTTAGATTGACTTAGATTGACTTAGATTGACTTAGATTGACTTGGATTGACTTGGATTGACTTAGACTGACTTAGATTGACTTAGACTGACTTAGATTGACTTAGATTGACTTAGATTGACTTGGATTGACTTAGACTGACTTAAGACTGACTTAGATTGACTTAGACTGACTTACACTGCCTTAGATTGACTTAGATTGACTTAGATTGACTTAGGTTGACTTAGACTGGCTTAGATTGACTTAGACTGGCTTAGATTGACTTAGATTGACTTAGATTGACTTAGATTGACTTAGATTGACTTGGATTGACTTGGATTGACTTGGACTGACTTAGATTGACTTAGACTGACTTAGATTGACTTAGATTGACTTAGATTGACTTAGATTGACTTGGATTGACTTAGACTGACTTAAGACTGACTTAGATTGACTTAGACTGACTTAGACTGCCTTAGATTGACTTAGATTGACTTAGATTGACTTAGATTGACTTCAATTGACTTAGACTGACTTAGATTGACTTGGATTGACTGTAGACTGACTTAGACTGACTTAGATTGACTTAGGTTGACTTCGATTGACTTAGATTGTTAGATTGACTTAGACTGACTTAGACTGACTTAGATTGACTTAGATTGACTTAGACTGACTTAGATTTACTTAGACTGACTTAGACTGACTTAGATTGCCTTAGATTGACTTAGATTGACTTCGATGGACTTAGATTGACTTAGATTGACTTGGATTGACTTGGATTGACTTGGACTGACTTAGACTGACTTGGATTGACTTAGACTGACTTAGATTGACTTAGACTGACTTAAGACTGACTTAGATTGACTTAGACTGACTTAGACTGACTTAGATTGCCTTAGATTGACTTAGATTGCCTTAGATTGACTTAGATTGACTTCGATTGACTTAGACTGACTTAGATTGACTTAGACTGACTTAGATTCACTTAAATTAACTTGAATTGACTTGGATTGACTTAGACTGACTTAGATTGACTTAGATTGACTTAGATTGACTTGGATTGACTTGGATTGACTTAGACTGACTTAGATTGACTTTGATTGACTTGAATTGACTTGGATTGACTTAGACTGACTTGGATTGACTTAGACTGACTTAGACTGACTTAGATTGACTTAGACTGACTTACACTGCCTTAGATTGACTTAGATTGACTTAGACTGGCTTAGACTGACTTAGATTGACTTGGATTGACTTGGACTGACTTAAGACTGACTTAGATTGACTTAGACTGACTTCGACTGCCTTAGATTGACTTAGATTGACTTAGATTGACTTAGATTAACTTAGATTTACTTAGACTGACTTAGACTGACTTAGATTGCCTTAGATTGACTTAGATTGACTTGGATTGACTTAGATTGACTTGGATTGACTTAGACTGACTTAGATTGACTTAGACTGACGTAGACTGACTTAGATTGACTTAGATTGACTTGGATTGACTTAGACTGACTTAGATTGACTTGGATTGACTGTAGACTGACTTAGACTGACTTAGATTTACTTAGACTGACTTAGACTGACTTAGATTTACTTAGACTGACTTAGATTGACTTAGATTGCCTTAGATTGCCTTAGATTGACTTAGATTGACTTCGATTGACTTAGACTGACTTAGACTGACTTAGATTGACTTAGACTGACTTAGATTTACTTAGACTTAGACTGACTTAGATTGACTTAGACTGACTTAGACTTAGACTGACTTAGATTGACTTAGATTGCCTTAGATTGACTTAGATTGACGTCGATTGACTTAGATTGACTTGGATTGACTTAGACTGACTTAGATTGACTTCGATTGACTTAGATTGACTTGGATTGACTTAGACTGACTTAGATTGACTTAGACTGACTTAGACTGACTTTGATTTACTTAGACTGACTTTGATTTACTTAGACTGACTTAGATTGACTTAGATTGCCTTAGATTGACTTAGATTGACTTCGATTGACTTAGACTGACTTAGATTGACTTAGACTGACTTAGACTGACTTGGATTGACTTAGACTGACTTAGATTGACTTAGACTGACTTAAGACTGACTTAGATTGACTTAGATTTACTTGGACTGACTTAGATTGCCTTAGATTGACTTAGATTGCCCTAGATTGACTTAGATTGACTTCGATTGACTTAGACTGACTTAGATTGACTTAGACTGACTTAGATTGACTTAGACTGACTTAGACTGACTTAGATTTACTTAGATTGACTTGGACTGACTTAGATTGACTTAGATTGCCTTAGATTGACTTAGGTTGACTTCGATTGACTTAGATTGACTTGGATTGACTTAGACTGACTTAGATTGACTTAGATTGCCTTAGATTGACTTAGATTGACTTAGATTGACTTGGACTGACTTAGATTGACTTAGATTGCCTTAGATTGACTTAGATTGACTTAGATTGACTTGGATTGACTTAGACTGACTTAGATTGACTTAGACTGACTTAGACTGACTTAGATTTACTTAGACTGACTTAGATTGACTTAGATTGCCTTAGATTGACTTAGATTGACTTCGATTGACTTAGATTGACTTAGATTGACTTGGATTGACTTAGACTGACTTAGATTGACTTAGACTGACTTAGATTGACTTAGATTGACTTCGATTGACTTAGACTGACTTAGATTTACTTAGATTGACTTAGATTGACTTAGATTGCCTTAGATTGACTTAGATGGACTTCGATTGACTTAGACTGACTTAGATTGACTTGGATTGACTGTAGACTGACTTAGATTTACTTAGACTGACTTAGATTGACTTCGATTGACTTAGATTGACTTGGATTGACTTAGACTGACTTAGATTGACTTAGATTGACTTAGACTGACTTAGATTTACTTACACTGACTTAGATTGACTTAGATTGCCTTAGATTGACTTAGATTGACTTCGATTGACTTAGATTGACTTGGATTGACTTAGACTGACTTAGATTGACTTAGACTGACTTAGACTGACTTTGATTTACTTAGACTGACTTAGATTGACTTAGATTGCCTTAGATTGACTTAGATTGACTTCGATTGACTTAGACTGACTTAGATTGACTTCGATTGACTTAGACTGACTTAGATTGACTTAGACTGACTTAGATTGACTTAGATTGCCTTAGATTGACTTAGATTGACTTCGATTGACTTAGATTGACTTGGATTGACTTAGACTGACTTAGATTGACTTAGATTGACTTAGACTGACTTAGACTGGCTTAGATTGACTTAGATTGACTTGGATTGACTTAGACTGACTTAGATTGACTTCGATTGACTTGGATTGACTTAGACTGACTTAGATTGACTTAGACTGACTTAGACTGACTTAGATTTACTTAGACTGACTTAGATTGACTTAGATTGCCTTAGATTGACTTAGATTGACTTCGATTGACTTGGATTGACTTAGACTGACTTAGATTGACTTAGACTGACTTAGACTGACTTAGATTTACTTAGACTGACTTAGATTGACTTAGATTCCCTTAGATTGACTTAGATTGACTTCGATTGACTTAGACTGACTTAGACTGACTTAGATTGACTTAGACTGACTTAGACTTAGACTGACTTAGATTGACTTAGATTGCCTTAGATTGACTTAGATTGACTTCGATTGACTTGGATTGACTTAGACTGACTTAGATTGACTTAGACTGACTTAGATTTACTTAGACTGACTTAGATTGACTTAGATTGACTTGGATTGACTTAGATTGACTTCGATTGACTTAGACTGACTTAGATTGCCTTAGATTGACTTAGATTGACTTCGATTGACTTAGACTGACTTAGATTGACTTAGATTGACTTCGATTGACTTAGACTGACTTAGATTGACTTAGATTGACTTAGATTGACTTAGATTGCCTTAGACTGACTTTGATTGACTTGGATTGACTGTAGACTGACTTAGATTGACTTGGATTGACTGTAGACTGACTTAGACTGACTTAGATTTACTTAGACTGACTTAGATTTAGACTTAGACTTTAGCTTAGATTGCTTAGATTGACTTAGATTGACTTCGATTGACTTAGACTTGACTTAGACTGACTTAGATTGACTTAGACTGACTTAGACTGACTTAGATTTACTTAGACTGACTTAGACTGACTTAGATTTACTTAGACTGACTTAGATTGACTTAGATTGCCTTAGATTGACTTAGATTGACTTCGATTGCCTTAGATTGACTTAGATTGACTTAGATTGACTTAGATTGACTTGGATTGACTGTAGACTGACTTAGACTGACTTAGATTTACTTAGACTGACTTAGACTGACTTAGATTTACTTAGACTGACTTAGATTGACTTAGATTGCCTTAGATTGACTTAGATTGACTTGGATTGACTTAGACTGACTTAGATTGACTTGGATTGACTGTAGACTGACTTAGACTGACTTAGATTTACTTAGACTGACTTAGACTGACTTAGATTTACTTAGACTGACTTAGATTGACTTAGATTGCCTTAGATTGACTTAGATTGACTTCGATTGACTTAGACTGACTTAGACTGACTTAGATTGACTTAGACTGACTTAGATTTACTTAGACTTAGACTGACTTAGATTGACTTAGATTGCCTTAGATTTACTTAGACTGACTTAGATTGACTTAGATTGCCTTAGATTGACTTAGATTGACTTCAATTGACTTAGACTGACTTAGATTGACTTGGATTGACTGTAGACTGACTTAGACTGACTTAGATTTACTTAGACTGACTTAGACTGACTTAGACTGACTTAAGACTGACTTAGATTGACTTAGACTGACTTACACTGCCTTAGATTGACTTAGATTGACTTAGATTGACTTAGGTTGACTTAGACTGGCTTAGATTGACTTAGACTGGCTTAGATTGACTTAGATTGACTTAGATTGACTTAGATTTACTTAGACTGACTTAGATTGACTTAGATTGCCTTAGATTGACTTAGATTGACTTCGATTGACTTAGATGATCAGTAGAGTTGACGAAATGGTGGTGGAATTGATCAGGTGGGTGGAAGACTATGTGTCTTCAATCACTGCTGCCTTACCTCCGAAGCTGCTGCTTGAAGCTCCACCAAAGCTCCCTGAGGAGGGGCTGCTTCCACCAAACAGCCCACCTACGCCCGCTGTGCAGGGCTGAGAGATTGGATGTTGGTAGGCCAGGAGTGGGGTAGGCGGTAGGCAGTTGGCAGGCCCACTTCAAATGCTTGAGTAGGTACATAGCTAATAAATTTCACCAAATTCACAGCTTACTTTTCTGATCGTTCCTGTCATGTTACCATGTTTGTCAACCCACCTGCAGCACTGGCTCCAAACAAGCCGCCACTGGCACCGCTTGCGCCGAAGGAACTGCTGGTGCCAAAGAGGCCACCACTGCTTGCTGCAGCTACAGCTGGGGTAGCTGGGGTAGCTGGGGTAGCTGGGGTAGCCGGAGCACCTGTCGCAAAAGTGTTTGTAAAATTTGGTGAAGATACTGTGTTACTGTATCACTTTGGGCTCTCAAATGATTCAAAATGAGGAATACTTCATTTTATGGCAATCTTAAGGAGGAAAATGAGGATAAATCGGATAAACCTTGATTTCTTCCGGGTTGCAACTGTTGAGAAAACCACCATTTGCCGCCTACTCCTCTATGAGGATGCACATTTCACAGCAGGGGCCTCCATCGGCTTTGATCTCGGGTTCCGGCTGCACTTTGTACTTTGTACAAATCTTCAAGTACATGGTGTGCTCCTGACCAACATACTTGGCCATCAGGGTGTCAATCTCACTCCTGGGCACCGATGGAAACGGCCAAGCTCATTTCACTTCAAGCGTTGCAGATCATTGCAGGTGAATTCGAAGCAACATGTGCTGTGCTTTGCTGTGCTAGGTTCACTTTTCCAGGATTGTGCTGCTGGTAGATCTTGATCATGCGATCTTTGTAAGCCTCAAGGTCAAGGTCTCACCAATCTGCCGCGAAGCTGCTACGAGGCTAAAAGGTGTACAATCTGAGACTTTGGCTTGCTTGACATCTACTGTTCCGCATGTTGCCGGTGGTGTCGCTCCAAAGAGGCCTCCTGGAAAAATTCCAAACAGAAACTGCATTAAAGAGAATGCACCGCAAATTCAATTTTGAAGCATTCTTTTCTCCTCCACTTCCAGCGCTTCCAAAAAGTGCACTTCCAGCGCTTCCAAAAAGTGATGCTGGTGATGAGCTGCTTGCACTGCTGCTACCACTGCCACTGCTACTGCTGGTTGTACCAAAGAGCCCGCCTGCACAGCACAGGAATGCGCAGAGACTTCAGATATCTTCGCCAACATCTGCCTGAGGTGCTGAACAACGATCCACCAGATCCAGCTCCGAACAAACCTGGCGCTTACAGCTTGAGCCGGAGCTAAACGGTGGAGGCCAAACCCTACGACGCAACGACGCTACGACAGCGCCTCCACTGCTCTGTTCTGCAACTGGAGGTGTGCTCGCTGATTTGATCTCTGGCTCTGCTGGCACATTGTACTTTTTGCCTTAGTCTGCTCAATGGCAACTATATTTATGTATATATATATATATATTTATATGTGTGTGTGTTTTATTATTGTGTTATAAGCTGTTGTAACTTCCTGCTGGTGGGGATAAATGCGTCGTGTCCTTTGTATCTCTTCTGAGTCCTCCCTGACTAGCCTGACTACTAGGCCTGCCTCTGTCAGTGCGCCTGCGCATGGACGAAATGTGCGAATGCTAAATCTTCCATAATTTCAACCAGGCTGCAAACCTTTAGATACATCGTATGTTCCTGACCAACGTACTTGCCCATCAGGGTGTCAATCTCATTCCTCGTGTGCAGCAAGCAGGAATCAAGGCAGAAGGATAGCACGATGTCTTGATGCTCAGTGATGTTTTTCCGAGAATCGGGGAATTGCCCTCATTTAAAGTTTTTGCTCATGGGGAATTATGATGGCCGTCTAAGGGGGAATCACCTCAGGGTTGGACAAACCAGCAAACAAAACACCTTGGGAATCTAAGGACAAGGTACACCTTGCTGGGATTGTGTTGCTCGTAGATCTTCACAATTCGTTCTCGATAAGCCTGCTCGGCATCGAATTCCAATGACACATGCTCAATCTGAAAAAGGGAAATATGTCTACATTGCAAACCGCACTTGTATCACCATGTCACAATGTCACTATGTCTTACTTGCAAGGGGCAAGTAGTGAAATCAGTGGCCATTGGTGATGAGACATGTCCATCGGGTGCTTGCTCTCAACTCGACATTGTGTAATGCCTCTCTCACATCAGCAACGGCTGTAGAGGGAGCAGAGACACTGGAACCTGAGTTTGGAGCAGCACCTTTGATACTGACACATCTTCAAATCTCATGTTTTGTGATAATTGTCCCAATTCCAATCGATCATTTTGACTTATATACCCTATGATGATCAAACATTGCATTGGAAAATCCTTTCTTTGTTGGGCTTATACGTGATTTCCCATTAAAACCTCTACTTTTAGGGGATTTCCAATCATGTTTGATGACACCGGATGGTAATATCCCCCATTTTGGGACTAAACCCCTCCCCAATGCCAACCTGGCAATGCTTCCAGACATGCAACTTGCAGCGGCATCAGTTCCTGGTTTGCTGCTCGCGTCGGATGCAGTTGGACCAAACCTGAGGTCTTTGTCGGCACCATGGTATCAATGACAATGAACTCATTGCGCTAATACGATGGCTGGATTTGCCCAAAAATAGTGTCTATAATAATATATATATATATACAGCCATAAACTGTCCATTTCATGAGGAGATTAAATGACGATAAACCATTGGATTCTTGGTGGTACCCGATATTCAGACAGAACCAGTTGGGCCAAAAACCCGGACAGTCACTGGCATCTTGGCCAGGCAACAGGCTGGATCCTCCGAAAAGGCTTTCGCTTGCCCCAATGCTTCCCTCAGCATTGGCGCAAGAAACTGTTGTGAAACACAACACCATGGCCTGAAAGAATGGTTTGCCAACCACCAAAAATTATGGTTTGCCAACCACCAAACTTGAGATATAACTGATATCAATCAGGTATTTATATATATACATACATACTTGATATAATTGCTATCAGTCAGATAAAACTGATATCAATATATCAGCCAATAATTGAGTTGTACCTCGAGCGTGGTGTGGAACCAGGATTGCGAACGACCAAGCATCAAAATCATCGCATCAGAGTTCGTCAACCAAAGCACAAGACCACGAACTTCTCAAAGGAACGTAAACTCGTTGCATGACTCACAGGTTTGCACAACTTGTAACGAGCTTTCGACACCTATAAAAAACGTTGACTTTTCATGACTTTTCATGACTTTTTCTACTCCCAAAGTCGAAGCGCCCGACACCAGCCCCAAACTTTTGGACCAAGGGACCCCGGACAGCGACCCACCAAGGCTCAGGGCACCAAGGCCACCAAGGCCACTGCCCAGGCCGCCCAGGCCGAGGCCAGGCTCACCAGCTTTTTTCTTGTCGGGCACAATGGACCTGGGCTGCGCTTAGGGGGATGGCCATGGTCAGTTTGAACAGAAATTTACATTTTATATATATATATAATACTATATTTATGTATGTATGTATATATATATAAACAATAAAATAGTAGCAACAGGGCTCTTAGTCATTGCAGAAATCATGTATGCGGGGACAGCTTAGCTGGCAAGCTGCGGAGGGGGCATCAACAGCCGCTCGTCCTCTCCACTTCCGGCTGCAGCATCCAACAGGCTGTCAACTGGGCGAAGGGAAGAGATCAACTCTCTTGAAAAAAACTGTACCCTCCGGTGTCACCAAACATGGCTAGCTGGCAAATCCTCAAATTAAAAGAAGGCTGAATGGGAAAAAAACCTATGATAATGTTGCTTTCATTGCCATGTTTGATTATTGGAGGGTATTCCTTGAATGTGAAGTAGCTGCTCGGTGGCTCGTCAGGAGAGATCTCATCGAAAGTCATCCCCAAGTTGTGGTTCATTTTTACTTCAATTAGCCTTACGGTAAGCTGAGCCCCCCTTTGTGACTTGTGTGATTGATGGACGTTTGACAATCGGGGAGGGTCCCAGGGTTTGTGACAGTGGATCCCATATTGGGGATTTCTATGTCTAAACAATGTGTGTGATCTATGTTCATTGTCCTTGCTTAATGCCGCATTTCCATACCGGTACACCCCCATGACTAATCAACTGGATATAAATCATCAACATCCCCAGTTTGGATAATGAATGTTCGTTACATGTTTGGCCTATATCCCCCACATATCCCATGAACATACATTAACTATAGTAATTGATCCCATTATCCACCAATGCTGACAGCCAGATACGGCATCACCTTTGTCTAAAAAAAACAAGATGAAGCCCACGAACCCGAATGCTCACACGTATGTTAATGGTACAGATGTCAAAACACATGGTTATGCAGTGACGCACAATACCTTTCTGCAAGAGTTTATTTGAACAGTCTTGTACATGTTTCCCTTGTTACCAGTCTGCAGTGTGGAGTGGAAAGTGTAGAGTGTGGAGTGTGGAGTGTGAAGTAAGGAGTGTGAAGTAAGGAGTGTGGAGTGTAAAGTGTGGAGTGGGGAGTGTAGAGTGTGTAAAGTGTAGAATGTGGAGTGTAAAGTGTAGAGTGTGGAGTATGGAGTGTAAAGTGTAGAGTGTGGAGTGTAGACGAGTGTGGAGTGTAGAGTGTGGAGTGAGGAGTGTAAAGTGCAAAGTGTGGAGTGTGGAGTGTGGAGTGTAAAGTGAGGAGTGTAAAGTGTGGAGTGAGGAGTGTGGAATGTAAAGTGAGGAGTGTAAAGTGTGGAGTGAGGAGTGGAAAGTGTAGAGTGTGGTGTGTAGTGTGGAGTGTAAAGTGTGGAGTGTAGAGTGTGGAGTGTGGAGTGTAAAGTGCAGAGTGTGGAGTGTAAAATGTGGAGTGAGGAGTGTAAAGTGGAAATCGTGGGTGTAAAGTGTAAAGTGTGGAGTGTAGAGTTTAGAGTGTTGAGTGCAAAGTATAGAGTGTGGAGTGTAAAGTGTGGAGTGGGGAGTGTAGAGTGTAAAGTGTGGAGTGGAAAGTGTGGAGTGAGGAGTGTAAAGTGTGGAGTGTAAAGTGTGGAGTGTGGAGTGTTGAGTGGAAAGTGTGGAGTGTGATGTGTGGAGTGCAAAGTGTGGAGTGAGGAGTGTAAAGTGTGGAGTGAGGAGTGTAAAGTGTGGAGTGTGGAGTGTAAAGTGTGGAGTGAGGAGTGTAAAGTGTGGAGTGTGGAGTGTGGAGCGTAAAGTGTAGAGTGTGGAGTCTGGAGTGGAAAGTGTAGAGTGTGGTGTGTAGAGTGTGGAGTGTGGAGTGTAAAGTGGAGAGTGTAAAGTGTGGAGTGTGGAGTGAGGAAAGTGCCACGCTTGCCACGCAAAACGACATGACAACCTGCTTGGAAACCTTCGAAAAGGAGAGATTTTGCGGCTTCCCCCATAAACACGACGACGCCACAGGAAAAACCAGAGACCCGAGACGAGACGCATGGATGCAGAAAAACGAGCATTTCGTGCGAGACTTCCTCCAATTTTGACATTTTCAACACGTTAGCAAACAGCTTGGAATGTCACAAAGTGCCACGCCTGCCACTCAAAACGACATGACAACCTGCTTGGACACATTCGAATAGGAGAGGTCTTGCGGCTTCCCCCATAGACACGGCGAAACCACAGGAAAACCAGAGACTCGAGACGAGACACGTGGGAGCACCAAAACGAGCATTTCGTGCGAGACGTCCTCCAATTTTCACACTTTGAAACATGCCGAAGAGAGATGTTTTGCAGCTTCCCCCATAGACACGGCGAAGCCACCATAAAACCAATGACGCGAGACGAGACACGTGGGAGTACCAAAACGAACATTTCGTACGAGACTTCCTCCAATTTTGACACTTTGCAGCTTCAAAATCGACGTTTTCCTACGAGTTTTCCTTAGAAGCTGAAAATTTGCAACCTCAAAATTGATGTTTCGTGCGAGGCTTCCGTCAATTTTCAGCACATGTCACAAAATGCCACGCCTGCCACGAAATTTGCACCTTGTCACCACTTGACGCATCCCTGCCAATGCGATTTGCAGAAAACACGCAACAGGACACGTCTAAAGTGCTGCGCCTGCCACGAAAAATGACGATGGACACGTCCAAAGTGCTGCGTCTGCCACGAAAACTGCAACACATCTTCTGAAAACGTCACAAAAGTATTGCGCCTGCCACGCAAAACGATTTTCAACACGTTGCAAAACATGTCTGAATGTCACGAAGTGCCACGCCTGCCACGCGAAACGAAGCAACGACACGTCTGAAACCTCCAAAAATGACCACCTCTGCAGAACTTCCCATAGGCACGGCCATACGGGGATCGCACGAACGGTTGCGGACGGTTGCGGACGGTTGCGGACGGTTGCGGACGCGGAGGCAACGTCGAGCGAACACACCCTCAACCCCCAGACCCCCAGAGTGAAACGGGAACCCTTGCTACGCATTCGGGAAACATATCTTTGCTGGATTTTGCTGGTAATTCCTCCATGATCTTCCTGGTCAAACCACCAGGCCTGAAGCTGAAGATTGCACAGTCCCAAAGGCACTACGATTGCCGAAGGTTGGTGTATCGATCTCCGAGGGCGGTCGGATCTCACCATTCTCCAGGGCATCCCTGGAGAAGCGACAGAATACCCATGGCTAAACGAATGGAACAAGCTTTAACTGGGTAAATGGACTCTATGGACTCTAAATCCATTCTGGAATCAGTTTTGAATGCTTCTTTGGACTGCAAAACTAAATGTATTTCGAAACGCTGGTCATCAAATGGAACAATTTGTCAGAAGGGGTACAACAAAAACTCGAACAAATCACTGGATCTTTGGCCTTGATTTCCACTAGAACCCATTTGAAGCCCAGCCTGTCCAAAGCCAGGTGGTCTCCACGCTTGGTTTTCCGCCGTGGTACGGCCTTTCAGCTCCAGCTTGAAACAACTTGGTGTAAATCTGGATCCCTGAAATCGATGGTGGATTCCAGGAACCCAGTCCCCTTTTGGAATGATTTCCTATGATTTCCCATGATTTCCCCGATGCTTTTGTGGACGACCAGTTGTGAAAGTTCCAGAAGCCAAGTAGCGCAAAGCTCCTGGAAAACTGCTGAGCGCAGCTTTTGCAAAGGCTCCTGGGAAGTGTGTCGCCAGTGCTCCATGTGTTTGGAAATTAATCGAAACGCATCGGCGAGCTACCTGGAAGTTGAAGGCAGCCGCAGCATTCACCTTGATAGCATGAGATAGCATGCGATAGCATGAGATAGCATGAGGCTCCAAATCCAGCTTCTACGATTTCTACGATGCTGCGGATTGCGAAAACCGCTTCATTTCTGGCAAAACGCAAGCTTCTGTGACAAGGCACCGCAGCCAGACCACGATTCAGAGTGTTCTGCCTGAGGAAATTGGGTTAACATTAAGTACCAATTGAAACACAAAGCATGGTTGATGCTTCTTGTTGTCCAACCATCTAATTGTGGCAAAGAATTTTGCGCCAAGCCAACTATGCTGGTGCTTGGCATGCCCAAAAGTCCCTGCCTCGGCTCTGGATTCAGATCCTGCACTGCACGCAACCGTGCATCAATGTCCGCAGCGCGCTCATTCCTGGCGCAGCACAAAGATTACTGGGGGGGACTTTAGGATCTTCCAAGATTCTGCAAGATTCTGCAAGATTCTGCAAGATTCTGCAAGCGCATGAAGATCTAAGTCACAGACAGTTGCTTGGATCGCATTTGCACCATCTGTGCATGGCACTGCATTGAGGCAGCCTTTCCAATCGCCACAAGATGACGGGCCTGCTGCTGAAGGAACCAACCACGGTCACCGTCCTGTCAACACAGGATGCTTAATGTGACCACCAAAGCCCTCACTCGGTCACCGCTCCTTCATCGCAAGCTGCAAGTCCATCGTTGTATCTTCTCGCTTTGTGGAGCAGCCAATCTGTTGCAGGCCAAGAAAGATGGTTTCATCCGACATGCGTGAAGATCGATGGTTTGAAGAGAAGACCAGTTGGGCATGATACAGTCCACATCATCCCATTCAATGCAGCTCCAAATCAACATTCCACTATTATTATGAGTGGTCAATGTTTGACTGTAAAAGGGGTACCAATGTATTTTTTGTGGCCAAAAACAAGTTTTGGCTACGAAGAAAAAGTTGGTGTTCATGGTTTTCCGCTGTGTTTGTTTAATTTTGTTCAACATGTTTTCTTAGAATGTCCAGTTTAATTGTCAATTTTGATATGTTTGATCCAATGATAGTAGGTTTGTCTGAAAATAGTGTGCCTCAAAATCAACTGATCTGACTAATAATCATTCCATTTTGGGGGTCAATCCCCCAGCAATCAGACACGCCAAAATATCATCTTCTCAGTTCGGCATATCCCACTATATCCCATGACATGCCCATTCAACCTCCAATAATTCATGGTTAAATCATCATCAAAACATGATGATTAAATCCCCCATTTTCATGGTGAAACACGGTGAAACCCTAGCATTTTTGCCACCTCTGGCCTCCGCAACTGCATCCTTCAGGGCCTTCGACGTCGTCCGCCGGTTCCGCAGCGGATTCCGTGGTCTCCCAGCCGTCAGCAGCCAGCGGCTGCAGCTCGGAGGAGGCGCCTCAGGAGTTGTCCGTCGTCATGTTTCGGGGAAAAACCTGTTGGGAAAGCATAAGAAACACCTTTTAAGGGAAAAGATCCAGAATTGTGTTGGCTTTTTTTTTTCCGTTTTTGGCACTTTTTTGGGGATCTGTTTTTCTGCCTGTTTTCCTTGCTATTTGCAGCATTTGGGAGCTGGAAGCTGCCATTTCAACTGTCCTTGCAATATCTTGGAGTTGGAACCTTTCATTTTCTATAGAGTTTGCAACATTTTGGTGGAATTTGTAACATTTTGGAGCTGGAAGCTGCGTTTCAAGGGTATTTGCAGCATGTTTGAGTTCGAACCTCTCATTTTCGATGGAATTTGCAACATTTTGGTGCTGGAACTGTTCATGTAACATGGTAGTTTGCAACTAAGGTTCATTTAGGGTTGGTTTTAGGGTTAGTTTAGGGATTTTGTTTGGTTTAACATTGTTTAAGGGTTGGTTTTAGAGCTAGGGTTTATTTAGGTTCTTTTAAGGGTTAGTTTAGGATCTTTTTAGGGTTTATTCAGGTTTGGTTTAAGAAAAGCAGAAGCAGGCAAGCAAAGAAGCAGGGAAAAGCAGAAAGCAGAGAAGCTGGGAAAAGCAGAAAAGCGGAGAAGCAGCAGAGAGGCAGCACAGCGGAGAAGCAAAGAAGCAGAGAAGCAGAAAAGTGGAGAAGCAGAGAAGCAAAGAACTATAAAAGCAGAGAAGCAGGAAAAAGCAGAAAAGAGAGAAGCAGAAAAGCAGCAAAGCAAAGAAGCAGGGAAACAGAAATCCAAAAAAATGCCCAAAACGCAAAACAAGGGGGGGCCTGAGAACCCAAAAGCAAAACGACAGCAAACAAATTTGAGTAATAATTGGTTTATTTCCTTTTCGCCCCTTGCCAGCATCTAAGGTTTTGCAGCCGATAGGGGGTCTTTGGAATTTGATTTTAGGGTCCTTGGTGATTTAGTTTTACCTCTGATTGTGTGATATATGTTTTCCATTATTTATTTCTTTATCTATCTTATCTATCAAGGTAGGTGGCCTTGGTATATACTAGTGAAAATTATCCCAAAGGAAAGATCGTCTTGGGTTAGTTTCAATATTATTAGTTCTTATCCGTCCTTCGGTAGTCATGCCAAGATGGGGATTGATAATTAGTCTCTCCATCCATTTACTGTTCTTTTCGTGGAAGTGCCAGTCAGAACAAACGATCACCATTCGATCGTAGTTCAGATAGTTTTTTTTGGGTTGGGTACTTCGATAAAATATGAAATATTTTATCTATACATATCAATATATGCAGCCGATGGGGGGTCTTTGGAATTTGATTCTAAGGTCCTTGGTGATTTAGTTCTACCTCTGATTGTGTGATATATGTTTTCCATCATTTATTTCTTTATCTATCTTATCTATCAAGGTAGGTGGCCTTGGTATATACTAGTGAAAATGATCCCAAAGGAAAGATCGTCTTGGGTTAGTGTCCCTTGGATGTTTCAATATTATTAATTCTTATCCGTCCTTCGGTAGTCATGCCAAGATGGGGATTGATAATTAGTCTCTCCATCCATTTACCCTTCTATTCGTGGAAGTGCCAGTCAGAACAAACGATCGCCATTCGATCGTAGTTCAGATAGTTTTTTTGGGGGTTGGGTACTTCGATAAAATATGAAATATATTTTACCTATATATATATATATATGCAGCCGATGGGGGGTCTTTGGAATTTGATTCTAGGGTCCTTGGTGATTTAGTTCTACCTCTTTTTGTGTGATATATGTTTTCCATTATGTATTTCTTTATCTATCTTATCTATCAACTCCTCACTCCGCACTCCGCACTTTACATGTTACACTCCACACTCCACACGCTACACTTTACACTCCACACTTCCCACTTTACACTCCACACTCTGCAATTTACACTCCGCACTCCACACTTTACACTCCACACTCCTCACTGTACACTCCGCACTCCACACTCTACAGTTTCCACTCCACACACTACACTATACACTCCACACTCCTCACTCCACACTCTACACTTTACACTCCACACTTTACAGTTTGCACTTTACACTCCTCACTCCACACTTTACACTCTACACTTTCCACTCTACACTCCACACTTTACACTCCACGCTTTCCACTCCACGCTTTACACTCCACACTTTACACTCCACACTTTTACACTCCACACTCCACAGTCTACACTTTACACTCCACACTCCACAATCCACACTCTACACTCCACACTTTACCCACTGCACACTCCACACTCCACACTTTACATTTTACACTCCTCACTCCACACTTCCCACTTTACACTCCACACTCTACACTTTACACTCCACACTCCACACTTTACACTCCACACTCTGCACTCTACACTTTGCACTCTACACTCCACACTCTACACTTTTCACTCCACACTGCAGACTGTCAACAAGGGAAATATGTATATACAAGACTGTTCAACAAAACTATTGCAGAAAAGTGTTCTGCGTGACTGCATATCCATGCGTTTCGACATCATCACCATTAACATACGTGTGAGCATTCGGGTTCGTGGGCTGCATCTTGTTCTTTCCCTTTCTTTCCCTTTCTTTCCCTTTCTTTCCCTTCCTTTCCCGTCCTTTCCCTTCCTTTCCCTTCCTTTCCCTTCCTGTCCCTTCCTGTCCCTTCCTTTCCCTTCCGTTTCCTTCCTTTTCCTTCCTTTCCCTTCACCCACACCGTCCGCACCACGGTTCAAAGCAGCTCGCTCCTCACGCGGTTAACCAACTAAACGAGAAACAGTTGGGTTGTAATGAACCAGGGTTCAGTAGCCGCTGCATATCTTTTCCACAGCTTGGCTAGATATCATACCTCACAGAGGTAACGGCTCGTAGTATTAAAGTGCATACAGTGTGGTACAAAGTAACACTGGGTCACGGTTGTGATCCAAACCATACAGGTGGGATACACATACCAGATTTGATAGGTCGAAGACACTAAGACAAACACCCATACCAACAGAAATAAAGGAAGGTGGTGTTGCATTTCCCAAATGTAAACCCTTCCCCCTATCACCCCGCAGGAGGGATCAAGGGAGGGAGGGTGGGACAAACAAAAAAGAAGGACCAATCTTGAGCCAAAAGTGGCACAAGATTGGTCAGTTACAAACCAAACATGTTTCATATTGCAAGGGAGTCCCTTCCCAACCAACCATTCACCCTTGCAACTTAAGAAACAGTTGGGTTGTAATGAACCAGGGTTCAGTAGCCGCTGCATATCTTTTCCACAGCTTGGCTAGATATCATACCTCACAGAGGTAACGGCTCGTAGTATTAAAGTGCATACACAGTGGTACAAAGTAACACTGGGTCACGGTTGTGATCCAAACCATACAGGTGGGATACACATACCAGATTTGATAGGTCGAAGACACTAAGACAAACACCCATAGTATTTCATAACCCACTGCACTTTAAAATAACGAGGCTAACAAAGAGGAAAAGAATGCATCTGGCAAAAGATCACAGGGAAATGGGTATTCATTAATATCCCATCCCTGTTGCAAGGTCCAGACATCGTGGATTCCGTCACGGCTTAGACCATCAGATGGATTACTAGCGCTGTCAATCCATTCATACCAGATTCTGGTACCTTGTCGAAAAATCCATGCGTGAGCAAGAAGGCAAATGAGGTGCACATCAGGTTGGAGGCTGCTTGCACGGATCAGGCTAGCCACGGCCGCTTCATTATCGATGAACCACAGGACATCCGCTGCAAGGAACAATTGTGGGTGAAGGCGCGGGATAACCAATGCTGACAAAGCTTCCCCTGGAAAAATTTGTTGTTTCCGGGTTTTCCAAGAATCTAACGTGGACTGGGGGACAATACAGGTACCACCAGTAGGTGAGTGGTCAGGATGGAAAATGATCCATCCAAGGCGTAAGACACCTTGTTCAAAGCTAGCGTCAGAATACACACGGACCACTGGTTGGAGAGGGCCTGCCACCACAATGTCACGTGGGGGAGCATGTTTGGGGCACTTGCGAGGCAATGCAAAACGTTTCCAACGCTTCAAGGCAGCCATCAAGGAGCCCACTCTCTCGGTGCTCAACTGGTTTGGGGTGGCCATGAGGCTTTCTTTGAGTGACTGGATGGAGCCGGCATCCTGGAGGTTGTCCACTGTGAGACCCAGCTCAGCAGCGTCCACTACGTCCTCCATCAACATCTGAAAGAAAGCATCCATCTTGGCCACCCTAACAGACTGCTCCTTGGCATGAGGGTCGGTGGCAGCAGCACGAGCAAAGGAAGGTGGCTCTGGTGTGCCCCCCGCTTGGATGAGCTTCCTGTAGGTCACCACCTTGCTAGGCTGGCCTAGGTTCAGGGCGTGGGGCGGTGTTCTTGGAGAACACGGAGGTCCGGTCTTCCACAATGGCCGATATCCCCTTATGGCCCTGGGTTGTGGCACGACTCAAGGCGAGTGTCCACAAGGCTGCAACCGAGAAGGCCTGGTCCGCCGAGAGTCTGCCAGCTGAGGCCTCAAATTCCGCCACAAGGGCCTGCCCAGAGGACCACATGTGACGGATGTCAGCACAAGTCTGGACTCCCAGGCTCGCCAGGAATGGGGCCAGAGCTGCTGGCCTGTTCAGCAGGAGCTCCTGCACCTCCGGTTCCAGTCCTGGGGGTTGCACTGCCGCTGAACCCGACGACTGTGAAGATGCCAGTCCCTCCGGTCGGGGTCTCGATGAGGACCTGTCCCGCGGCCTCTTCGGCAAAGTGGGCCGTGTAGGCGAGGTGGCCATCCTGCCAGCTTTTCCCATCAGCCTGGCAGGCGGTGCAGACCAGCTTTTCCTGGTCACAAGTGGTGCAGATAGGTGCAAACCCAAGGTCAAGGTCCCGGACCGCCCTTGAGTAGCACCCCTCACACCAACTGGCTGTCCAGAGTCCACAGCGATCGCACGCCTCGAGGAACTCGGAGTTGGTGAAGGTCACCAGGGAGAATGCCGCAGCGGCACCACGATCTGCTCGCCTCTCAGCCACAGACAGACCGGCCGGCCTGGTCGGGAAACCCAGTCGCCGACCACGCTCGACCCAGTCCGAGGCAAGTTGACCCAGCTGGGCGAGGTCCGTGGGAGCAATTTCCGGCATCCCCCCCGACAAACAAAAAAGAAGGACCAATCTTGAGCCAAAAGTGGCACAAGATTGGTCAGTTACAAACCAAACATGTTTCATATTGCAAGGGAGTCCCTTCCCAACCAACCATTCACCCTTGCAACTTAAGAACCCAAGCATCGAAGATGCTTTTGGGAAAGCAACACCATTTAATAACTAGATACAAAAAATGCACACGCCAAGCGAGAACCCAAAAAAGCAAATCACCCTACCCCATGTCTCCACCCATTCCCTGGCCCCACCCCCTTGCATCCATTTTATCGGTTAATCTATATGCGCACATAGCCAGCCGAAACCATTTTCCATGCTTGTTCTCCCCACCCATTTCCAGCCACTCCGTTGCACCCACGCCGTCCGCAGCCGTCCGCAGCCGTCCGCAAGCTCGCTCATCCCCAGCGTCTTCTTCTCCCCAGCCCCCTTGCACACACGCCGTCCGCAGCCGTCCGCGCAGCCCAGGTCGCTCATTCCCAGCACTTTCTTCTCCCCACCCATTTTCAGGCACTCCTTGCACGCACGCCGTCCGCAGCCGTCCGCGCAGCCAAGCTCATCCCCAGCGGCTTCTTCTCCCCACCCATTTTCCACCCACTCCCTTGCACCCACGCCGTCCGCAGCCGTCCGCGCAGCCAAGCTCGCTCATCCCCAGCCACCCCCTTGCACCAACCCATTTCCAGCCACTCCCTTGCACCCACGCCGTCCGCAGCCGTCCGCGCAGGCAAGCTCGCTCATCCCCAGCGGCTTTTTTCTCCACCCATTTCCAGCCATCCCCTTGCACCCAAGCCGTTGGCAGCCGTCCGGTCGTCCCCAGCGGCTTCTTCTCCGCATTTCCAGCAGCCTAAGGCCTTTGGCGCCGTCGCAAGCCAGCTTTGTGCTTCTGGGGACCTTGCGTGTGATGCCGGCTTCTTCAGCAACCTCCTTCATGGCCTGGACCAGGCAAGTGGCACGGTAATGCTTCGGCACATCCATTGCCTTGTGTGCCGTGAGGGATGCCTTGAAAAAGCGGTCCCAGGCGCCAGGGGATGGCTTCTTCAGTGCCAAAGAAGCGACTCGCTCAGCGCGAGCGCAAGCCCAGCCCCGTAGCCTTGGCGTGGGTAGCCACAGGCTGTATTGAAGGTAAGCCGCAGCTCGTTGTCCACCATCAAAGAGAGCTTGGAGCTCGGCTCTCTTACTGGTCACACCAAGTAGCTGCAATTCACGTTCCTTCTTCGCTTCCTCCGCCTCCAATTCTGCCAGTCTGCTTTTGACCTTGCCGTCCACCTGGTCCACCGGCACCTGTCTGACAGCGGTCTCTGTGCGCCGGACAATCTCAACAAAATCTTCATGGAAGGAGAACATGTCCAAGTCACCGTCATAATCGCCACCAGCCATCCGGGAGTTGCCATAGCCCTCACGCGAAACCAGAACGGCATCCAGGGGCGCTAGTCCTTCAAGGTCCGCGGGCCAGGGGAGGGCTTCCCAGAGCTCCATGTCCCAGAGACATTGGCAAGGGCAGCGCCAAACCACGACATCGCCAATGAGGTTCTCACCGTTGCTAATGATGTAGCATTGGCGGTCTCCCAGCCGGCCCGTGTAATCGGACAAGGCAGTGACAGTGGCGCCGACCGCTGGGATGTGGAGCCGCGGTTTGCGGCGATGGTTCTTCACGTTGCCCCATAAAGCCACGCTGCCACGCCCCAGCGCTTCTCTGGTCTTGTGCGCAAACTTGGCGGGCTGCTCTTCCTCTTCCTCCACCTCCAGGTCCTGCAACGGGGTTGGCACCTCATGGCCCCGGCCGACTTCCAAGCGAATGTTGTGAAGCCCAACGCGCTTCTCCACCCACTTGTCCTCCTTGCGCCAAGGTTCTTGGCCGGCTGCGCAAATGGTGCGCTTGTCCTTGATGGGCGGCAAGGGCGGGTGGTCGACCCCAAAGGATTGCTCCTTGAAGGTGGCCCAGGTGTAGTCCTTGCACTCCTTGAGAAAGGCGTCCAACTTGTCCAAGACGAGTTGACGCTCGGCCCCATCGGCTACCATGTTGGCCCTGGCCCGCAACATGGCCAGCACTGACGGCGTCAGCTTGGGCTGTGCCATGGGGCGGGTGCTTGCCGTGATGTCGAGGCCGTAACACCTTTGGTCTTCAACGTGGGGGCCGCGCACTTTGATGCAGGACTTCGGCAGAATGAGAATTTGGCAGCTAGAAGAAATTCCTTCTGAATGCGACTCATCTCCGTCTGATGATCTCGACTGTTCGATACGGTACCTTGCATGGTTGCAATGGTCTGCTTCATCTTCTCCAAGACCTGCTCAGTCTCGACCTTCTCCTTCTTCATGTCTTCCACCATGACATCCTTCGCCTTCAACGCCTTTGCCAGCTCCTCTACTCGATCCCCAATCCGCTTCTGCTCACGGTTGTCAAGACGTCGATCTCTGCATGGATTCTGTCGATTCGACCGGCTTAGTCCTGCTCCTCCACCAGAACCAGGCCCCATGGCAGCGATTCCGGCCAGTGCACCAACTCCATGATGCGTTCGAGCGGAAAAGAATCACACCGTACCATCACGTCCACATCCCCTGTAGGTTGTTACAAACGTCAATGTGCTCAACCCGAGCTGCTGGCTCTCTTGATTTCAATCACAGTTTTACATCCGTACCCCAAGCAATGACATGTGTTCGAGACTTCAATACTTACCAACTATTCTACTTTCATTACCATGCAACCTACAATAATGCATTGGAAATGATTGGAGAAGGCTTTTACCAACACACATAAACCGTCTTTAGCGCACAAATTCGGCCAACTCTCCCATCTTATGAACGCAGTACAATCATCGTGCGCCCTTTGATTTAATACGATTTACCAAACACGGACCCCCGGGTCTGGATAACGATGCGAATTAGCTCGAGATCACCTGTTTGGACCTTGGAAGCCTTCGACAGTCGCGCCATCCGCAACCGTCCACGCACTTCTCCGCACCCATTGCCCGTCCGCAGCCGTCCGCGCAGCCAAGCTCGCTCATCACCAGCGGCTTCTTCTCCCCACCCATTTCCAGCCACTCCCTTGCACCTACGCCGTCCGCAGCCGTCCGCTCCATTCCTTTCCCTTCCTTTCCCTTCCTTTTCCCTTCCTTTCCCATCCTTTCCCTTCCTTTCCCTTCCTTTCCCATCCTTTCCTTTCCTTTCCCTTCCTTTCCCTTCCTGTCCCTTCCTTTCCAATCCTTTCCGTTCCTTTCCCTTCCTTTCCCTTCCTTTCCCTTCCTTTCCCTTCCTTTCCCTTCCTTTCCCTTCCTTTCCCTTCCTTTTTCCTTCCTTTCCCTTCCTTTTCCCTTCCTTTCCCTTCCTTTCCCTTCCTTTCCCTTCCTGTCCCTTCCTTTCCCTTCCTGTCCCTTCCTTTCCCTTCCTTTCCCTTCCTTTCCCTTCCTTTCCCTTCCTTTCCCTTCCTTTCCCTTCCTTTCCTTTCCTTTCCCTTCCTTTCCTTTCCTTTCCCTTCCTTTCCCTTGCACCCCACGCCGTCCGCACACCACCGTTCAAACCAGCTCGCTCCCCCACGCGGTTAAACAACTAAACGAGAACCCAAGCATCGAAGATGCTTTTGGGAAAAAAACAAAAAATATAGCCCTCCGTTGGGAAAGCATGGGAAGAACATTTTGGGAAACATGGTCAAAACCTTTTGAGAAGCATGGGCACAACCTTCTGGGAAAGCATGGGAAAACATTGGCAAAAACCTTTTGGGAAAGCATGGGAAAAATCTTTTGGGAAAGCATGGGAAAAACCTTTTGGGAAAGCATGGGAAAAACCTTTTCGGAAAGCATGGGAACAATCTTTTGGAGAGCATTGGAAAAACCTTTTGGGAAAGCATGCAAAAAACCTTCTGGGAAAGCATGGGAAAACATGGGCAAAACCTTTTGTGAAAGCATGGGGGAAAAACCTTTTGGGAAAGCATGGGAAAAACCTTTTGGGGTAGGGAAAACCGTTTGGGCAAGCATGGCAAAAACCTTTTGGGAAAGCATGGGAAAACCCTGCTGGGAAAGCATGGGAAAAATATTTTGGGAAAACAAGGGAAAAACCTTTTGGGAAAGCTTGGGAAAACATGGGACATGTTTGGAAGACATGGGGAGAAAGTGGAAAACCAATGGGAAACATGAACCAAAACAGTTTGAATCATTTTCCACAGAAAAGGCTATAGAAAACAAAAACAACAAATAAAGGTGGTTGGTCTTGCAGAACTTCCAGCTTCGATCATTTCCATCAGCTTTGCTACCGTAGGTGTGACCCCCCTGACCTCTGATCGTCACAAGTCCCAGACCATCTGACCGTCTCGAGGGACAAAGTGGACATATTTCCCAGTGTATCCTGGCCGCGAGCCCAAGACAAAGCTTAGCTGAAATGACGCTCTGTCTGAAGGGGAACGGGACAAAAGCCTAATTCCAATGGATACACATTGTTTCCCATTTTTTAAAAGTCATGTTTCCCATAGGTCAACATGGTCATCAATGATCTGCCAACAAACAGCACGGATGCGCCTGGAATCTTCTCCAAAGCAGCTTCCACTAAAGGAGTAGGGGAGATGACCTGCAGATGTGGAGCAAGACATCCAAACTTGAAATACCCTTTAATATTCATTAAGTTCATTAAGAAATGAGGATGTGACCATCAAAAAAATGAATCAACAAATTTGGAGATTGGAAATCACATCAATCGTTGAGCTCTCCCCTGCTAAGTGCCTCCTTTCGGCCAAGTTGTGCCAAGCTTTCCCAATCCACCTGGCCAGGAGGCATCAGTTGCACCAGTATAGCGACAGGACCACTTGGAAGTATGTCGTCTTGCAGGGAGAGCAAAGCACAGTCGTGAACAATTTCGAATCATGAAATCACCATGAGGGCGTGAATTTGTTGCTCTACAACAGGCGCAGTTCCTCCTGAGGTTTTCTCTGATCAGGAAAGCTGATGCCGGCCGATGCCGACCGATGCCTGGTTGCGGAACTTTTCCAAGATTTCCTGCTCCAGAAACGACAGCTCAGCCTCCACCTCCGCCGTGCAGCTGATTATGCTGATTTCTCTCCAAAAACTCACCCAACCAGCTGAAAAAGAAAGAAAAATGCACCGATGCTGACCTGCTTGCACCGATTCCGGATGGCTTTCAGGTGCGGTGCATCTTCGCCAACCTTTGCCGCCAAGTTCTCCATTGGCCACGCTTTCCACATCTTTCCACAACTCTGAGAGCCCCACTGGCAGCTGCTCAGTCACGCAAGAGGTGTGTTTCTGCAGGGTTTCTGTCCTTGGTTGCTGAAAAGTGGAACTCCACGCTGGTTCCAATGGTCCAACGCTTTTCATGATCGATGACCGATGCTTCAAAGAAACTGCAGGCTGATGAGGTCCGCGAAAATCTTTGGCCGATCAAGTTCATTCATCTGTTTCCTGAGTGGATCCAGGATGACCCACCGTGGGAGGAGGAATGGACGAATGGAACATGACTCGACAATACTCGACATGTCAGATCTGATTGATTCACAAAGTATCTTGGATGTTGTGTTGATATCTTTTCGGATTCTGAGAAAGTGTCAAATTCTTCCTGACTTGCGCATGATCGTCTTCAAGATCTTTGCAGGCTTTTGTAATGGAGCCCCACTCTGCGTGCTTTGGCGGTGTGATGATCTCCAAACCTCACGTTACACTTGGCTGTCAAGAAGTGTGCATCGTTTCACAATAAGTACTACAAGATCACATGATGACACAATAGCGGCATAGCACCCACATGCACCCACCTTCGACCTCCTTCAACTCTTTCTCCAAAGCTTCGAAGCCAGGAAGCAGCCTTGGCATTTCGGCAACATGGTGGAACCATGTGGAACCGTCGGAGGCGTCGTTTTGGCCGTTTCAACCGTTTCAACCAAGCTGCTCCTCCAGCACTTTACTTCGATTGCTGGACTTCTTCAGCTCATCCAAAATCTGATCAACACCAGTCGCCTCCTTCTTGGCTTTGGCATCCTGTAATGTGGATTGAAGGGACCCATAACCCACAAGATTTGCTACTGCATGCTACTGCAATAGATGCTTGTACGATCTTGTACGTATACACACGTATACTCTAATTCTTACCCTCACCTAGCTCCTTTTTGGGAATTTATAAGGTTGCCAAGTCTGCAAGATTTGCTGAAAAGGCCGCTCCTTCGATTCTGCTTTGCCCGGTGCAACAGAAAAATCCAAGGGCGCACCTCGGCACCAAAATCTAAATTGACAGCCGGAGTTCTGAGCTGCAATTCCGTGAATATATTCAACTTTGAGGCTAGAGCCAGTTGAGGGTGTGGATTTTGCTTCCTCCGAGGGACTTCATAGAAGAGCTATATAGAAATTCCAACCCTTTCTTCATCTTCTCTTTCCAGCATCGACCCAGGTCTTGAAACAGTTGGGGAAAGAAAGTCATCACCACGACAAAGGCCCGACCAGTCGCACCAGTACCACCAGTTCCCTTGACGAACAATTCTGGCCTTTGGCTCCTCTGGACTGGGCTTTGCAGTCTCTGACGGGATGCCTCCAACGTCTTTGAAAATAGGCAGCAATTCAAATGGTAAAGGTGGCATTGCCAAAGGCGTTGCCTGAAAATAGAGTACCACAAAATCTCGTGGTTGATCATCATTCTCCCGATTAAAATATATTATATTGAAACATATTTAAAATATATTACAATAGGTTGCAATATATGTCAAAATACATAAATCATTATTCCATATCAAAACATGGCCCACATCCGGTTCCAATTCTACCATCTCAAAGTCTTCGTGCCTCGAAAAGATGCGCTCGCCGCCTCAGGTCTCAGGTTGCTTCTGTATTGTAGAAGCAATGCTCACGTGCCGCACATGCCCTGCTTGGTCACCGTCGGTTGAAGCCTGGGGTGCCTGCAGAAGTTTCACCTGTGCCGCCAAACAGCGAGCCTGGCATCGCTCAACAAATCAAAATCAAAGCGAAAAAAGGATGGTCCGTCCTCCACTTGCTGCTGGATTGAGTGCAGATTTGCCTCCAGCTTGGCCTTCCGGCGCTCATCATGTCAGTATATTCCGGCTGTCTTGCGCTTGTAATTTGAACACAACCAGGGAAAACATTGCAGAAATCAAAAAATCAACACTGTTAATTGCATCGACTGCCCCATGCAAGCCCATGCCACCTGCAGTCGCTTTGATTTCCGGCTCCGGCGTCACGCTGTACTTCTTGCAGATCTTCAAATACATGGTGTGCTCTTGGCCCACGTATTTAGCCATCAAGCTATCAATCTCCGCCCTTAGTTGAACAGGTGAAAACCGCTCAAAGAAAACACCTGTGCCAGGTCCAGAAAGCCTAGTTTCAAACTCTGAAATGGCTCATCCGGTGCCCGGCTTGCCAAGGATCACTTTGGAGGGATTGTGCTTCTCGTAGATCTTCACCATCCTCTCCCTGTACGCCTCCTTGATCTCATGTGAGTCCATCGGCTGTCCTGCTGCGCTTTGTGTCAAGGGAACTATTTGGGGTGTCGAATAATGCAAGACGAACCCACAGTATGGGAAAAATGATCAACTGATCAACCATCAAACTTGGGAGTGCCCTTTTTGGGCAAATTCAAGTAAACCTTGACTCGTGTTGATCTGGGAGCCATTCAACTTATACTTTGCAAAAGAAGTCTGTCTCCAGAGGTCCTGCAGATGCCGTTGCCTCAGATGCTAAGCAAACCACCACACGGGAATCCTTGTTTTTTGGTGCATGACTCACATGACAATGACAGCATAGGAGGAATGCACAATGCGGTGTCTCTCCCAAGGCAGCCGCTGTTTCTCCCGCTGGGCCAATTCCAAACAAAGATGAAGAGCCAGCACCAAAGAGTGAGCTACCTTCCAGTTTTTTGACATGCTGCATCAGTGATTATCAGTATGTAGATTTGAAATGGATTCAGTACAGCAGCTGTGCAGACCACCTGCAGTGTTTTGGGAACTGGAAGAAGCTGCCTTGGGACACTGGAACAGGCGCGGCACCGTTGTGCCCATGGTTGTGAACCACTTTCGTAGCTTTGCAAGTCATGTTCCACAAGAAAAACAATACCAAAAAGCTAACCACAATTCTGCGGAGTCTTTGCATGCCTTCAGCGTCCCTGCAAACACATTAAGGGCGCTACCGCATCCGAACCAAACAGCGATGCACTCGAACCAGTGCCAAACAGGGAGCCGGATCCTGCAATAAGGATCCGCTTAAACTTAAACTCTCTTCCAGCTGAACTATGGTCCTCCAATGTCTACCATGGTGCACGAAGATACATTGATCATCATTGATCCAAGTTTACTTCGAAAGGGTTTCATAATGATTCATCTTGTGTGTACCAGGTGATGCACGGCCCTTGCCTTTCCCAGTTTCAACTTCCACGCACTTTGAATCGTTCCAACGGCACAAAAAAAGACACAACTCTGCCTGCGCTGCTGCCACTGCTGGAAGAGCTTGAAGCCTTTCAGCAGTGTCATGGCAACTGACAGTTTACCTTCCCTTCTTCACGATTTATCAAAAACGATCCGTATAAGATGCGAGAGCTTTTACTCATTCGTGCTGTTCAAGTTTGAAGTGAGGACACTGTGACAACCATCAAAGCACTTTCCGATCAGTTTTTGACTGCAAACTTGAGGCAACTGCAGAGCCGCTTCCAAACAACGTAGCACCAGAGCCAAAGAGCCCACCGCCTTCCATTTTGCACGCTGTTATGTCAGTCAAACCATATCTTCGCAAAATGTCACAGATCTGCACAGCAGTTGGAGCGAATCAGCAAAGCAGCAAAGCATTCACGTAGCTCCAAGTGCATGTTTCGTGCCTGCACTGCTACCAGATGAGGCTGCCTTATACAAATCAGATAAACCAGCAACTTCCAATCTTCCCAGGTCATTGGCTCACATTGACTTCCATCAAATTGCATCAAGTCTATGTAGGCAACCGCGGAGATCTCAGAGCCCCGCCGAACCAGTGCCAAACAAGGAGCCGGATCCTGCAAATAAGGATCCGCTTAAACTTAAACTCTCTTCCACCTGCACTATGGTCCTCCATGGTGTACTATGGTGCACGAAGATACATTGATCCAAGATTACTTCAAAAGGGTGATGCACGGCCCTTGCCTTTCCCAGTTTCAACTTCCACGCACTTTGAATCGTTCCAACGGCACAAAAAAAAGACACAACTCTGCCTGCGCTGCTGCCACTGCTGGAAGAGCTTGAAGCCTTTCAGCAGTGTCATGGCAACTGACAGTTTACCTTCCCTTCTTCACGATTTATCAAAAACGATCCGTATAAGATGCGAGAGCTTTTACTCATTCGTGCTGTTCAAGTTTGAAGTGAGGACACTGTGACAACCATCAAAGCACTTTCCGATCAGTTTTTGACTGCAAACTTGAGGCAACTGCAGAGCCGCTTCCAAACAACGTAGCACCAGAGCCAAAGAGCCCACCGCCTTCCATTTTGCACGCTGTTATGTCAGTCAAACCATATCTTCGCAAAATGTCACAGATCTGCACAGCAGTTGGAGCGAATCAGCAAAGCAGCAAAGCATTCACGTAGCTCCAAGTGCATGTTTCGTGCCTGCACTGCTACCAGATGAGGCTGCCTTATACAAATCAGATAAACCAGCAACTTCCAATCTTCCCAGGTCATTGGCTCACATTGACTTCCATCAAATTGCATCAAGTCTATGTAGGCAACCGCGGAGATCTCAGAGCCCCGCCGAACCAGTGCCAAACAGGGAGCCGGATCCTGCAAATAAGGATCCGCTTAAACTTAAACTCTCTTCCACCTGCACTATGGTCCTCCATGGTGTACTATGGTGCACGAAGATACATTGATCCAAGTTTACTTCAAAAGGGTGATGCACGGCCCTTGCCTTTCCCAGTTTCAACTTCCACGCACTTTGAATCGTTCCAACGGCACAAAAAAAAGACACAACTCTGCCTGCGCTGCTGCCACTGCTGGAAGAGCTTGAAGCCTTTCAGCAGTGTCATGGCAACTGACAGTTTACCTTCCCTTCTTCACGATTTTTCAAAAACGATCCGTATAAGATCCGAGAGCTTTTACTCAAGTTTAAAGCGAGGACGCTGTGACAACCATCAAAGCGCTTTCCCATCAGCTCTTGACTACAAACTTGAGGCAACTGCAGAGCCGCTTCCAAACAACGCAGCACCAGAGCCAAAGAGCCCACCGCCTTCCATTTTGCACTCTGTTATGTCAGTCAAACCATATCTTCGCAAAATGTCACACTTCTGCACAGCAGTTGGAGCGAATCAGCAAAGCAGCAAAGCATTCACGTAGCTCCAAGTGCATGTTTCATGCCTGCACTGCTACCAGATGAGGCTGCCTTATACAAATCAGATAAACCAGCAACTTCCAATCTTCCCATGTCATTGGCTCACATTGACTTCCATCAAATTGCATCAAGTCTATGTAGGCAACCGCGGAGATCTCAGAGCCCCACCGAACCAGTGCCAAACAGGGAGCCGGATCCTGCAAATAAGGATCCGCTTAAACTTAAACTCTCTTCCAGCTGCACTATGGTCCTCCAATGTCTACCATGGTGCACGAAGATACATTGATCCAAGTTTACTTCAAAAGGGTGATGCACGGCCCTTGCCTTTCCCAGTTTCAACTTCCACGCACTTTGAATCGTTCCAACGGCACAAAACAAAAAAGACACAACTCTGCCTGCGCTGCTACTACTGATGGAAGAGCTTGAAGCCTTTCAGCAGTGTCATGGCAACTGACAGTTTACCTTCCCTTCTTCACGATTTTTCAAAAACGATCCGTATAAGATGCGAGAGCTTTTACTCATTCGTGCTGTTCAAGTTTGAAGCGACGACACTGTGACAACCATCAAAGCGCTTTCCCATCAGCTCTTGACTGCAAACTTGAGGCAACTGCAGAGCCGCTTCCAAACAACGTAGCACCAGAGCCAAAGAGCCCACCGCCTTCCACTTTGCACTCTGTTATGTCAAACATTGTCAAACCATATCTTCGCAAAATGTCACAGATCTGCACAGCAGTTGGAGCGAATCAGCAAAGCAGCAAAGCATTCACCTAGCTCCAAGTGCATGTTTCGTGCCTGCACTGCTACCAGATGAGGCTGCCTTATACAAATCAGATAAACCAGCAACTTCCAGTCTTCCCAGGTCATTGGCTCACATTGACTTCCATCAAATTGCATCAAGTCTATGTAGGCAACCGCGGAGATCTCAGAGCCCCGCCGAACCAGTGCCAAACAGGGAGCCGGATCCTGCAAATAAGGATCCGCTTAAACTTAAACTCTCTTCCAGCTGCACTATGGTCCTCCAATGTCTACCATGGTGCACGAAGATACATTGATCATCATTGATCCAAGTTTACTTCGAAAGGGTTTCATCATGATTCATCTTGTGTGTACCAGGTGATGCACGGCCCTTGCCTTTCCCAGTTTCAACTTCCACGCACTTTGAATCGTTCCAACGGCACAAAAAGAGACACGACTCTGCCTGCGCTGCTGCCACTGCTGGGAGAGCTTGAAGCCTTTCAGCAGTGTCATGGCAACTGACAGTTTACCTTCCCTTCTTCACGATTTTTCAAAAACGATCCGTATAAGATGCGAGGGCTTTTACTCATTCGTGCTGTTCAAGTTTAAAGCGAGGACACTGTGACAACCATCAAAGCGCTTTCCCATCAGCTCTTGACTACAAACTTGAGGCAACTGCAGAGCCGCTTCCAAACAACGCAGCACCAGAGCCAAAGAGCCCACCGCCTTCCATTTTGCACTCTGTTATGTCAAACATTGTCAAACCATATCTTCGCAAAATGTCACAGATCTGCACAGCAGTTGGAGCGAATCAGCAAAGCAGCAAAGCATTCACCTAGCTCCAAGTGCATGTTTCGTGCCTGCACTGCTACCAGATGAGGCTGCCTTATACAAATCAGATAAACCAGCAACTTCCAGTCTTCCCAGGTCATTGGCTCACATTGACTTCCATCAAATTGCATCAAGTCTATGTAGGCAACCGCGGAGATCTCAGAGCCCCGCCGAACCAGTGCCAAACAGGGAGCCGGATCCTGCAAATAAGGATCCGCTTAAACTTAAACTCTCTTCCAGCTGCACTATGGTCCTCCATGTCTACATGGTGCACGAAGATACATTGATCATCATTGATCCAAGTTTACTTCGAAAGGGTTTCATCATGATTCATGTTGTGTGTACCAGGTGATGCACGGCCCTTGCCTTTCCCAGTTTCAACTTCCACGCACTTTGAATCGTTCCAACGGCACAAAAAGAGACACAACTCTGCCTGCGCTGCTGCTACTGCTGGAAGAGCTTGAAGCCTTTCAGCAGTGTCATGGCAACTGACAGTTTACCTTCCCTTCTTCACGATTTTTCAAAAACGATCCGTATAAGATGCGAGGGCTTTTACTCATTCGTGCTGTTCAAGTTTAAAGCGAGGACACTGTGACAACCATCAAAGCGCTTTCCCATCAGCTCTTGACTACAAACTTGAGGCAACTGCAGAGCCGCTTCCAAACAGCGAAGCACCAGAGCCAAAGAGCCCACCGCCTTCCATTTTGCACTCTGTTATGTCAAACATTGTCAAACCATATCTTCGCAAAATGTCACAGATCTGCACAGCAGTTGGAGCGAATCAGCAAAGCAGCAAAGCATTCACCTAGCTCCAAGTGCATGTTTCGTGCCTGCACTGCTACCAGATGAGGCTGCCTTATACAAATCAGATAAACCAGCAACTTCCAATCTTCCCAGGTCATTGGCTCACATTGACTTCCATCAAATTGCATCAAGTCTATGTAGGCAACCGCGGAGATCTCAGAGCCCCGCCGAACCAGTGCCAAACAGGGAGCCGGATCCTGCAAATAAGGATCCGCTTAAACTTAAACTCTCTTCCAGCTGCACTATGGTCCTCCAATGTCTAGCATGGTGCACGAAGATACATTGATCATCATTGATCCAAGTTTACTTCGAAAGGGTTTCATCATGATTCATGTTGTGTGTACCAGGTGATGCACGGCCCTTGCCTCTCCCAGTTTCAAATTCCACGCACTTTGAATCGTTCCAACGGCACAAAACAAAAAAAACACGACTCTGCCTGCGCTGCTGCCACTGCTGGAAGAGCTTGAAGCCTTTCAGCAGTGTCATGGCAACTGACAGTTTACCTTCCCTTCTTGACGATTTTCAAAAAAATGTATAAGATGCGAGAGCAATTACTCATTCGTGCTGTTCAAGTTTAAAGCGAGGACGCTGTGACAACCATCAAAGCGCTTTCCCATCAGCTCTTGACTACAAACTTGAGGCAACTGCAGAGCCGCTTCCAAACAGCGAAGCACCAGAGCCAAAGAGCCCACCGCCTGTCGCCAACCAATTTTCAATTGTTCATCTATGTTCATTCTGAGTTCATTCTGCAAATGTTTCGTAGAGCTGTGGATTTTTCAGACCATGACAGTCCTGCAGTGGCTCCAGTGGCAGCCTCAGAGGGTTCCAAGGATACAGCCCATCCCAACACTGTCTCTTGGGTGACCAGCCTGGGATGATCCGGTGACTGCCCGGTTTCCTGAACTCTCTGACCTGGGCAGGCTGCGAGTGGACGTCTCAGCAAAGAAGAAAACTGTGCAAGTCAACTCCGCTCTTTGCCAATCTTTGAGCCAAAGACCCCAAATTTGCAAACGGTGATGCTGCAGTGGCCTTATTCAGTCTCTGATCAACAAAAAATACACGCCCATAAAGCAAAGCTGCCCACATCTGCTCGGAAATCAACAGCGTCGTGGACGCAGTTGCGAATCCAAGGGCCAAACACTACCACCAAAGAGCCCTCCGCTCCCAAAAGGGGAAGCACTGGTCCCAGCAGCAGTAGCCTGCACTGCCATTCATGAATCTAAATGAATCTAAAAGTTGTCACTCTGCAGCAAGGTC